CCAAGAATTCATAGCCATCCAGAATTCTATGGGGAAGAAGCCGGAGGAGCGACCGGGAAATGGGTCGCGTCAGTAAGTACCGGGCCCCTTACTGACGAGCAGGCTTCTTCGCCCAAACCACACAGTCCCCACTGGGTCGTGATCCCGATTGCTGCAATCGACCGGACCCGGACGAATAAGGGGGACGAAACTGCTGATCACCCTGTGTTGGTGGAGGGTAAAGTCAACGGGGTGTTGCTGAAAATATTCGTGGAGGGAGGCGCGAGTCACAGTCTCATACAGCTCGACAGGGCTAAGAAAATGGGTATCCCCTTATTAAAGTGCCTACCCGAAATTGACGCAAGACTGGTGGATGGAACACCGCTGGCTATACGGGAGAGGGTGGAGCACGTCAGTTTCCACTGCGGCGAACACGTAAAATGTCGGATGGGACTGCTGGCGACTACACTCGACGGGTGCGACGTGCTGCTGGGACGGGATTGGCTGCGACAGTACAACCCGAGAATCGACTGGACGACGGGCAGCTGCAGCATCAAGATCGATGGGCACTATCACGAGTTACCGAAATGGACGGGACCCCGCATGCGAAGTACCCAAGTCCACGCGATCACCTTCAAGCGCGCGATAAAAATGGGAGCAGCAGCATACGCCGTCGACCTTCGCGAAGTGACGTCGCCGATAACAGCGGAAGATATCACGAAGCTGTGTGAAGCTGTTCCTCCGGATTTAGCGGAACTCATTCGAAAATACCCCGAGATTTTCCTGGACGACCTACCCGCCGGACTCCCGCCAAGCCGACCCGAAGACCACCGCATCAAACTGGAACCAGGCGCACAACCGACAGTACAGCGACAATTTCGGCTCAGCCAACCGGAACTCGAGGAATTGCAGCAGCAGTTGGATTACCTCCTGACGAAAGGTTTTATCCGCCCAAGCACATCCCCATACGCCGCCCCCATACTGTTCACACCGAAAAAAGATGGCGGATTCCGTATGTGCATCGACTACCGCGCACTCAACCGCATCACCATCAAGTCCCGTTACCCGATCCCGCGAGCCGACGACCTACTCGACCAACTTCGCGGAGCCAAGTTCTTCTCGAAAATCGATCTGCGAGGAGGTTACCACCAAATTCGCGTCGCTGCCGAGGATTGCCACAAGACTGCCTTTCGAACCCGCTACGGTAGTTACGAATACCTGGTGATGTCCTTTGGACTCACGAACGCGCCCTCGACCTTCCAGATGACCATGAACGGTGTTTTTCGCGAACTCCTGGATAAATGCGTAATTATCTACCTCGACGACATCCTAATCTACAGCCGCAGCAGGGATCAGCACTTAAAGGATCTTGATGCAGTCTTCACGCTGCTGCACAAGAATCGCCTCATCACGAAAGGGTCTAAGTGCGACTTTCTTAAGCAGGAGTTGGAGTTTTTGGGCCACGTCGTCTCTACCGAAGGCGTGAAAATCGACCCCGGGAAAATCAAGACCATACAGGAATGGAAGCCGCCGACCAACCTCAAGGAACTCCAAAGTTTTCTGGGTTTTGTCAACTACGTCCGCCGCTTTATCCCCAATATGGTTGGGTTATCTGCACCGCTAACCGACCGATTGAAGGATCACGATTGTTTTTGGTGGGGTGAGAAGCAGCAAGATGCATTCGATCAACTCAAAATCGCCCTCACGTCGCCGCCCGTCCTTCGCATCTCCGATCCCAACCGTCCATACGAAGTCGTCACCGACGCCAGCGACATCGCCATCGGTGCAGTTCTCCTACAGGATTTCGGCGACGGGTTACAACCAGTCGCCTACGAATTACTGAAGCTGCAAGGCGCGGAGAAGAACTATACAGTGCACGACAAGGAAATGCTGGCAATCGTCCATGCGTTCAAGACCTGGCGGTGCTACCTGACTGGAGCTGACGTCACGATGCGGACGGACCACAAATCCTTACAGTACCTGCGCGCCCAACCGAACCTCAATCCACGACAGATCCGATGGCTCGATTTCGTCGAGTCAAATTTCCATTACACCATCACCTACAAACGGGGGGCCAATAATATCGCCGATGCCTTGACCCGCCCTACTGTCCATACCGCCGCAATACTAATCGCCTAGTCAAACCCATTACTTACAGGACTATTCACCCACGGCTACAAGATCGATCCCTTTTTCCGCTCCGCTATCCATCAACAGCATACCACCGCTACTGGCCCGTATTTTCATAAGCGCGGTACCTCTCGCATCTGGGTACCCGGCTACGATTTACTTCGTACCCTGCTCATCCAGGAATCCCATGACAACCCTACCTCATGACATTTTGGCGTCGATAAAACCACGAAGATGCTGCAGCGGAATTACTACTGGCCGAACATGGCCGATGACGTGCGCAAGTACGTCTCCTCCTGCACCGCCTGCTAGATTATGATATCGTCGCATCAGCGAGCAGCCGGACTACTACAGCCGTTGGATCCGCCCGAGCGACCCTGGAAACACGTCACGATGGACTACGTGACAGGACTACCGACCGGTCCAAGCGGGAACGACGCCATCCTCGTGGTCGTTGACCGACTCACAAAAATGGCGCACTTCATCGCCTGCCAACAGACAATCACCGCCGAACAAACTGCGCAGCTGTTCATTGCGAACGTCATCCGCCTGCACGGACTGCCCTCCGCCATCATTTCGGACCGAGACCCAAAATTCACATCGAATTTCTAGCGCCACCTGTGGGACCAATTCGGCACCAAACTCCAATTTTCATATGCCTACCACCCACAAACCGATGGGTAGACCGAACGCGTTAACCAAACCATGGAGCAGCTCATTCGCACCACCTGTACTGACCCATCGACATGGGAGAAATCTCTTCCGCTACTAGAATTCGCATATAATAACGCGACCTCAGCCACAACCAATCAATCCCCATTCTTCCTCAACTACGGACAGGACCCTGCAGTACCCTCTACACCGAACATCGAGTCACCAGTGCCCCGGTCCCAGAAATTTGCTGAAGACATTCTCGCCACTCGCGACAAAGCAGCTGAGGCCATTCGGAAAGCTAACCTGGTCGCAAGCCGACAAGCGGATCGACATCGACGCGACGTCACTCACAAAGTGGGAGATCTTGTCCTCCTCGACACTCGCAATTTGCGGCTGCCGATCCCAAGCAAACTCCGACCCAAATTCTGCGGACCTTTTCAAGTGACCAACCTCGTGACACCTGTCACTGTCCACCTTCGGCTACCGGCTGATTGGCGCCATCACCCGGCTTTCCACGTCAGTCTTCTCCGACCCTACGTCCCGAGTTCATCAGACTTGGCACGCAACCGTGGTGTACCGCAACCGACGCCTTTGCAGGAACCGACGACCGAGCCCTTGAAAATTCTCGGCCATCGCATCACCACGCAGCTGAACCGTCGGATGGTTGATTTCCTCGTCCGCTGGCGAGATCGCACGTCCGAAGACGACAGCTGGGTGCCCCTCGCTGATCTAGAATCACACCCGATTCTAACGGCATATTACCAGCGTCAAAATGTCTCCGATGCCCAAGGTCTCGTTTAGGAGGGGGGGGTAGTGTAAGGAATTTCCATTCCTTACTGAGTCGCCCGCTACCGCGTACACCCGAACACTTCGACTCGTCACGTTCGGCCTACATTTTCGGCCCAACCCTTTCTCGAGTCGCGCCCGACAGCGTCGCCACATTGCCGAACCTATCCACGTCCCGAGGTTATTGCCCTATTACGTCCACTCCTATATAACCTTGTGCTTTCATGGCAATAGTGACGTATTCTCATTATAGTACATTGACATCTTCTAAATCATAACAGGATAAGTACGAGAAACCTGATTGCCAAGTTACAACAAGAATCTGCTCATGGCATCAAGTCGTCACAGTGCCGCGATTTCCAAACCTGCAATCTCGAACGTGCCACATGGCTGCCGCTGTAACGCTCGACTCACTGGGCCCAATCTCTAGGTCAGGGCAGAGCGCAGAGGGACGGCGGTCTAAATCAAGACACCGGGGAGGCTGGGTGGGAAGAGGGTGCTGCAGGTGCGTTGAATCAGCGATGTGAGTGGCGGCGGACCCACACGGTCGCGTGCAGATGGCGGAGGAAAACCGCGGGGCAACGCTGGCACATGCTAGCCATGTGGATTGGGGTGTATTGTAACGGGGGTTTCCAACCAGGGCCTACGCTAAGGATTTGGGTGGGTCTGTTTCTCCCAGGTTCTCCCCCCATCCCCCCTCTTTTTCGTCCGAGTTGGGGGACTGGTGAAGTCTGTTTGATCCGGAATCAAGGATCGAGTCACTCTGACAGAGTTTCTCCCCTGTGAAGTGTGAATTTGCACCAATGACATTCTCAGACAGCCAGCTCATCCCGTTTAGCCAAATATTGGAGTGGTAGCAACAAGTGCGGGAAGAGAGAGCTGACAGCACAAGGGGAAGAGGGGGGCAGGTCATCCCGTTTGAGATTGCTTTGGTTGTGTAAGGGGACAGTGAGGCGACAGTGCAAGGGGAAGAGCGGCGTGTGGTGTGGTGTTTTGCAGGGGGCGAGGGGGGGGGGGGGGATATGGGGGAAATTGCTCCGGATTGGGCCATAGGGGCATTCTGATTCTTCCAGAACCCGGCCCAAGCACACTTGTATATTCTCCAGAACCCTTTTGTAAGTCACTCGTAAAAAAACCAGATTGGACCCCAGAGAAACTCTGGAAAAATAATTAAATCTGAAAATTACCCTTAAACAATTAGGCCTGTTTCCAACTTCCAACCAGGGCGGAAGTAGTGTACCTTCCACCAGAGCCCCAGCAGCTTGGCTGACAGCCTTGGCGCGGACTGTGCTGCCGCCGGGCGGGAGGGGAGGGGAAGTGCGCAAGCACCTTGACCAGAACCTGCTCCGCCTGCCCAGAGCTGGCGCGCTGCAAAATTCCTCCCCTCTCCCTCCCCTCCCTTCGGGGTTCATTCACCCGCTTCCCCTCCCCAATTCACACCCTTTCCATCCCACCCCAAATACCTATCATACACGCGCCATAGTGCATAGTGTGCGCCAGTCGAGCGAGTAGCTGCGCTGTAAATATCGCCTTCAGACACACAGTTTGTTGAATTGATCTTGTTATTCCCCCGACTCGAGCCTCCTCACTTCGAAACACCCTTTTCAAACCGTTTCTTGGTTCCTAGGCGTCTCCTTCGAGTTTCTTAAGGATAGCGCCACAGGCACGTAATAGTAGGCACGGAGCGGCTAATCCAGAGCGACGCCTTCGCGTCAGGGCCATATTGGCTGGAGCGATAAGGCATGGCCACGTGGACCTGAGTCAGCATGAGAAATCGGGATCGGCCCAGCCACGGTAGCAGTGTCCATCTGTGGAGCAGCTACAGCGCCATGTTCTCCTCATCGCTTACTTCTTTCCTTTAACACAGCCGCCCGTTCGTTACGCCGAGGACCGAGCGCCCCACTACCGGCACCCTACGCACCGAGCGTGCGTCTCCGTCCGCCCGATGCGTCGCGGGATGGACGCTTGAGAAGGACCGCATCAGCAACGCGACGCACCCTGTCGCTTCACCCTGACTAAACTGGATCTCGTCGCGGTCGGTGCTCGCGCGACGCACCCTGTCGCGCAGTCGCAGCTTCTATCGCTGCGGGCCTTACCGTCGTTCGTTAATCGTCGCCGATCAGTGGCGCTAGTGGCTGCTGTAGTGGTGCGCCATGGATTCGGCAGAGCCCGCGTCAGCCTCACCCAGAGGTGGGAGCGATGTCGCTGGGAGGGCGTGCCGCGCAAAATCGAGCATAGAAACGAGTATAAATGGCGGTAGCACGTGCGATACGGCAGACGGCGCGAAAGATATGTCAATGGGCCGCGGAGATGGCGAATTGCAGCAGAGAGCCGAGAGCAGAATACGGGCGGAGAGAGAGGAATCAGGTGTGGGGTTAGCGGCAGTTCTCCGCGGCGCGGGTGTGTCGGCGGGCGCGCTGGTGATGCCGTCCGTGGCGCACGCGCTGCGCGCGGAGCTGGTGCCGAGAGCGGGGGGAGCCGTGGCTGCCAGCGCTGATGGGATCGCATTACAGTGAGTATTTTGCCTGCCCGTTGCATGCTCGTTGAACCCTCCCCCACACCTCTGCATCGTGATCGTCCTTACTGAGTTGCTGTAGTGCCGATCGTCGCCGCCGTTCCCTCCGCCAATCGTTTTCCCCTCCTCCCCCCTCTCCCCCTCCCCCCGCCCGCCCCTTCCTTTCCGCATTCCGCCTCCCCTCTTTCCCCAGTACCGGGGTCGCAGTAGCGCCTGCCGCCCGGCCAGAGGCGGACTCTCCGCACGTTCGACGCCCCGCCGCTTCCGCCGCCGCCCCCGTGTCTTCCGCTCGACCCCCCGCTGTGGCCTCCGCGGCGTCAGCGGAGCTGCAGGAGGGAGACAAGCGGGGCGCGGGCGGAGCGACGGTGATGGGGCTGCAGCAAGTGCAGCAGGGGCTGCGGGGGGAGGGGCTGCGGGGGGAAGGATTGGGGCACGGGCATGGGCATGGGCATGGGCGTGGGCATGGGCGTGGGCATGAGGAGGACGGGTTAGAGGACGATGAAGAAATGGCGGCGGCAGCGGCGGCGGCGGCGGCGTATAAGCAGCGGATGCGGCGGGCGGGGCAGATCAGCACTGTGGGGCAGCTGGTGGCGGGGGGCATTGCGGGCGCCGTGAGCAAGACGTGCACGGCGCCCCTGGCGCGACTGACGATCCTGTTTCAGGCAAGTGGCTTTAATTACGGCAGGATGACACGATGAACCGCGGGCAGTTGAAATTAGGGCAGTTGAAATTAGGGCAGTTGAAATTAGGGCAGTTGAAATTAGGGCAGTTGAGATAAAGGCAGTTGAGAGGGTTGAAAGACACATGGCGAAGTGTTGTGCTTTGGCTGCTCGGCAGCCAGCCCAGTGGTGAGTGAATTGGACGAAGAAACAGGAGAGAAGTAACTGGGGCTCGCAGTTCGTGGAGCTGTGTGCTGCCAAAGAGCCAAAGTAGGCGTCAGAGTCAAGGGGAATCATAGGCGACGTGAGCCCAAGGAGGCAGGCCCAATGCGCAGGATGTCACAAGGCGAGGTGCGAGCGAGTGATGACGGTGGCGACTATTGCCCATTGGACTGCTGGGGCAATGAATCGCAGCAAACCGTGCAGGCTGCACGCTCGTCGAACCTGGGATGGGTGGGAAGGGCGGGCGGTAGCAGGCAAAGAGGCTGTCTGGAGCCACCTGTCTGGAGCCACCTGTCTGGAGCCACCTGTCTGGAGCCACCTGTCTGGAGACACGTGTCTGGAGACACCTGTCTGGGGACACGTGTCTGGGGACACCTGTCTGGAGGCGCCTGTCTGGAGACGCGTGCTCCCACCACCATCCCCCCATCATCATCCCCCATCATCATCCCCCATCATCATCCCCCATCCCCCACCCAACCCCCCTTCCCCTCCCTCCTCCCCTTCCCCCAGCTCTGCCAGTCCTCCTTTCCCGCCCATTGGGCCCCCTCCCTCGAGCCCCATTCCTCTCTCCCCCTCTCTCGCCCATAGCCCCATTCCTCTCCCCCCTCAACCTCATCGCCTCCCCCCCTCCATGCCGCCCTCCTTCCCCGAAGCCGGCCATGCGCATGAGATTCACGCCACTGTGTCTCGGAACCCTAATGAACCTTCTCCCGCCACCGCGCCTCTGCACTCCCCACGTGCCTCACATACTTACAGCCTCTGCCCCGCCCCCCCCAACACCAGGTGCAAGGCATGCACGACGCGACGGCGGCGCGGCGGCGGCCGTCGATATTCGGGGAGGCGCGGCGCATTGTGGCGGAGGAGGGCGTGCTGGCGTTTTGGAAGGGCAACACCGTCACCATCGTGCACCGCCTGCCCTACTCCGCCATCAACTTCTTCGCCTACGAGAGCTACAAATCCGTGAGACCCAACCGCCCGCCCGCCCGCCCTCCTGCCTACTTCCCCTCCCCTCCCCTCCCCTGCCTTCTCTCAGCGCAAACCTCTGTGCGCCCACTGCCTCCTTTCTCATTCTCCACACCTCCTTCCAGCTTGCCAGGAGCTGTCGCTTTGGGGAGGAGGGGTGGGGAGGGGACAATCCCCCCTGGCATTGGTCTGGCATTGGTCTGGCATTGGTCTGGCATTGGTCTGGCATTGGTCTGGCATTGGTCTGGCATTGGTCTGGCATTGGTCTGGCATTGGTCTGGCATTGGTCTGGCATTGGTCTGGCATTGGTCTGGCATTGGTCTGGCATTGGTCTGGCATTGGTCTGGCATTGGTCTGGCATTGGTCTGGCATTGGTCTGGCATGGCATGGCATGGCATGGCATTGGTCTGGCATTGGTCTGGCATGGCATGGCATGGCATGACATACGTGGGTGCCTGTCTCTCACACAAGCATGGCGCGGGCTTTTCCTCATGTTCCGCCTTTACTCCCTTTCCACCCTCCTCCCCGCCTGCATGGCTCGTCCCCTTGGTCCCGTGTCCTCCCTGCCGCCCCTTGCAACCCCAGATGCTGGAGACCATGGCAGCCAAGTCCTTCCCCAGCCCCGACCTCTCGCACGCCCACACGCAGCATGCCCTGCAACCAAACCAACCACTGCAGCAGCAGCAGCACCAGCACCATCAGCAGCAGCAGCAGCAGCAGCAGCAGCAGCAGCAGCAGCAGGAGCAGGGGTGGCAGGCGGCACGGAGGGGCGTGGTGGACATGGGAGTGAAGTTCCTGGCGGGCGGGGGGGCGGGGTGCACGGCGGCCACCATCACGTACCCTCTGGACCTCGTGCGCACACGGCTGGCTGCACAGGTGAGGCTGGGGCAGAGCGAATGGATCAGTGGGAGGGTGAGTGGGTGGTTGTGTGGGTGGTGAGGTGAGTGGGTGGGTGAGTAAGTGAGCGGGTGAGTGAGTTTAGCGTTGGTGAGTGGGTGAGTGGGTGAGTAAGTGAGTGGGTGAATGGGTGAGTGGGTGAGTGGATGAGATGAATGGGTGAGTTGGTGAGTGAGTGAGTGGGCAGTGAGTGGGCAGTGAGTGGGTGAGTGCGCCTAGGGGCATCCCACGTGTTCACTCACTGGGCAGTCTCTTATCAGTCTGCTCGTCTGCTCTCTTTCAGGTTCCTTTAACCCCGCTTCCTGTCATAGCCCCGCCTCCTGCCCCATGCGTGTGATTCATGTACCGTGAGTCTACCCCGCTATACCCCTTAATCAATAGCGCTCTCTCGCCCCTGCACGCCCCTTGCCACTCTCCATTCTCCTCCCCCAACACACCCCTCCCCTCTTCCCCCTCGGCGTGTGGCGGCAGACCAAGTCGCGGTACTACAAGGGCATCTTCGGCACGTTGGGCACCATTGTGCGCGACGAGGGCATGCTGGGGCTCTACAAGGGCATGGGGGCCACGCTGCTGGTACGTGGGAGGGAGGGGAGAGCTGCTGGTACGTGGGAGGGAGGGGAGGGCTGGTAGTACGTGGGAGGGGCGGCTGCTGGTATCGTGATGCGGATGGTGATGATGGCGATGGTGGCAAGCATGCCATTGCCAACTGCGTTTCACGTCCATCACTGCTGCCCATCCCGTTCTCCGCCCTTTCTGCTCCGTACACTTGTACATCCGTTCCCCCCCCCTCCCCCCCCCTGTGCAGGGCGTGGGTCCCAATCTCGCCATCAACTTCTGTGTGTACGAGACGGTCAAGGCCAACTGGGTGCGCCGCCACCCTGAGATGCCCGTGCCTCTCGTGTCGCTCGGCTGTGGCAGCCTTGCTGGAATTTGCTCATCCTCAGGTCTGGTTGCTCATCCTCAGGTCTCCTTGCGTCCCTTTCCCTCCTCCGCTCTCCCTCTCTCGTTCTCATCCACTCACCCGACTACCCTCTTTGCGCACATCTCCCCATTTCTCCCCGCAACTTCCCAAATTTCCCTCTCCACATCCCACCTCGTCTCATGTCCCGAAACCACTCTTCCCCCATGCCAGCCACTTTCCCCCTGGACCTGGTGCGGCGGCGCATGCAGCTGGAAGGCGCGGGGGGGCGGCAGCCGTCGCAGCGGCGCACGATCCCGCAGATGCTGGCACATGTGATCCGCACGGAGGGGTGGCACGCGCTGTACCGCGGCATCGTGCCCGAGTACGCCAAGGTGGTGCCGGGGGTGAGCATCGCCTTCATGACGTACGAGTTCATGAAGAGGATGCTGCGCCCCAGGGACAGCTTCCTAGACTGACTTGGAGGATGGGGGTGTGGAGGAAGGGGCGACGGGGCGGCCGGGCTGAGGGGGGGGGAGGGGGGCTCGCTCCTTCCAATTGGGGCTGGGTGGCAGTGCGCTCCTGTGGAAAGGGCCAGCCAGGAGCGGTTAGTATTGGGTGGATAGATGAGGCGATTGTGAGCAGCAGCTGGGCAATTTGCTGCTGCTGTTGGGGGTGGGGGTGGCTGCTGTGGACGAGGGTGCGGTGCGGGGGGGTTAGCCCTGTATGATTTGTGGGATGAGGAATGCAGGATGAGGGATGAGGTGCCATCAGTGGTAGTCGGTGGGTCAAGGGCAAGGATGCGTGACGGTGCCTGGGATGACGACAGCAGCAAGTGCTGTTTCTCTGGGGTGGACATGTAGGGTTCCGCTCCTGCCCTTCCCCTTCCAACACACACACATTGTTCGCCATCCACACAAATTGATGGAAATACCCTGCCTCGACGCCTTATGCATGGCACTGGCTCCCTCTATTGTTTTCTGAACGATCTTACAGTAGCTGTAGCTCTGTGCAGTGTACTGAAGGATATTTGCTGTAGAAAAACCATTAACTTGGGCGTGCTCCCACTGCCTCTTGCTAGATACGCCTGCTGCTGACATATGTGCCTCGCTTCTTCCCTATTTAGGATCATGTGTTGGACATGCGTCAGCCGTGACAATGGATGACACTACCTCGTAATGCAGACTATTATTTTGACCAATTGAAAGATGCTAAATTTGGGCGATTTAAAAGACTCGTTTAACGAGACATCTGAAAGTGCAGAACACAGGTTTTTATTTTATACAATCTAATCACCTCATCTCACCTCGATAGACATGAAGCATGTCGCAGCCCCAAAACTAGCCAAGCTCAGACTGTCACCAGTTCACGAGAACGCCCGTTTCGTCTGTAACCGGATTCACTCTTCGCGAGGGCTCTGTTCCGTCTTCACCTCCTCGCCCCCATCCCCCGCCACTGGTCCCGCCACCTCCGTCCCTCCCACGCCCGTGTCCCTCTCGCCCTATTACCTCTCTCGCTCCACCCTCTTCCTCCCTCCTCCCCCTCTATCCTGCCCAAGGCACCGCATCGTCCTCCGAGAGGACGTGACACAGCCACTAAACCTCCTTAGAACGTCTGGGCGCGGCTCGCCGTTAAGATGGTAGGTTGCTCTGTTTTTGTGGTCGTCGCGTTGCGGCGTGGCTGGTTCACTGTAGGCATGTTGTGATACTAGCAACCAGTTGACGAGGGGTCTTGGTAGCAGTACTTGCTTATGCCGCTGGCAGATCAACGTTGTTGATAGAGAAGCGTGCCACTATTCCACGCATTGGACGATGGGCGTTTTTTTCTTTGGAGGCTGTAGTGCTGACGACTTTTATACATGATTTCAATTGTGGCAGACGAAGAGGACCAAAAAGGCCGGGATCGTCGGCAAGTACGGTAGGTGCCTCCGTCAACTGTTCTTTCCCCTCGCTTTCTTTCGGTCTGGAGGGGAAGACAGGGCTGTTTAGTGCATGAGCAAGCCGTTTGTGGTGGGGCGCTACAGGCATACTTTTCAGAGTCTTGATTCACTCCGATGCCCTGGTACCAAAAATAGTACTGGCTCGCACCTTCGCCACCGGTTTGCTGGTTGCCCACCCCCTCACTTCCTCTCGTCATTTTGCACGATACTCGCAGGTACCCGATATGGTGCCAGTCTGCGAAAGCAGGTGAAGAAGATGGAAGTCAGCCAACACGCTAAATACTTCTGCGAATTCTGCGGCAAGGTATACCGCCGTGCCAGGTTAGGATTCAAGGGAATCTGAGAAGGATCGGTCCCACATGACAGGTGCAGTCCGCTAGTCGTTTAAGGGACTTGTAGCTGTACTTCGTCGCTGTAGCCGTCCACGTTTCGATCCGTGCCAGCAGACAGAAGTATTCGGGTTTAGTCGTGCGTCCAGCGTTTTGCTGCCGTGTAGACGAGTTAGTGGTTCCACGAGGCAGCCACTGTTCCGCATCAGATTTCGCTGACGTGAAGGTCCGTGAAGGTCCTGGTCTTCTGACATAGTGAGGTGGACACTGGAGCCGGTCACACAGATTTTGGTCATAGGGATGCCCGACACATCCATCTGAAACTGAAGAGTTGGCCGCTTAACGATTATTTGAGTGATTGTAAATGGGTGAGTCCGTTTCATGTTCATGTGTATTTTGTTCTGTGTGTGAGATGTGGGAGGTGGGGAGCCTGAACGCGTGCATTTGTGTTGGTGTTGATGTATGCCTTTCTCATGCGTCTCTCCCTCTATATCTGTGTGGTGTGTGTGTGTGTGTCTGTCTTTCTGGCCATCTGTGTCTGAATCCGGGTGTTCGTTTGTTGATGCTGATGACATGCAGTTCTCTGTGAAGCGTCAAGTGGTTGGCATCTGGCACTGCAAGCACTGCAACAAGACCAAGGCCGGGGGCGCTTACGTGCTCAAGTATGCGTTTCCTCATCTTCTCCATGCTCGATACGTTCCACGCGTTTTTTTCATCAGATTCTTTCACTGGTTTTGATTCCTTCTGTGGTTCAGGTGGCAGCATGTCTCATCACTTCACGTTGTTTTCCTGCCATACTCCTCTCCCCTGTACTTTTGTTTTGAGCAGCACGGCGGCTGCAGTGACAGTGCGCAGTACCATTCGTCGGCTGCGCGAGCAGGTGGAGATCTAAACATCCATCGCACCACGCCACCCACTCTTCTGCCGCCATATCCTTGCCACCCTTCAGCCAGCTTTGTTTCAAGTGCTTTTGGTAGCATGCCGACTGCTGGTGTTTGGAAGATGGGCCAGCAACTACGTCAAGCTGCTGTGCTATGGAAGAAACAAGCTGGCTGCTGTATGCTCTGCTATGTAATGATGGCACATGGCTTGTGAACCCATTTTGAAATATCCACGTAATTGTAGGTTTAGTTGGAAACTAACCTAGTTCAGTAATACCCGTTATGGGGAAAAGAACAGAACAAGTATTTTTGGCGCGAACCAGGGGGTTGGGTAACGAAGTCGTCCTCGCTTGCCTGGAGCTCTCCCCGCGCGCTGCAACTCAAATCCCCTCCACCCACCCACCCGCTCCACCTCGCCTCACCTCTGCCCCACCCCCTTCAATCAGCTTGCTGCCTTCCGCGATACCAAAACCACCTCAAACTTGCCGCAACCTCGCAATAACCAGACCTCCGATCTACGAGACTCGTCGCGCATCAGCGAATCAGCGTCTTCGAGACCCAGCAGATTAGGCTTCCCAAAAGTCTAGTTGAATCATGTAAGTAGCCGGGTCTGTTGTGCTGCATCCCTTCACCTGCCATGCGCGTCCCTGCAATGATATCATGTCACCCAACCTTAGTCCTCCCACCACCCTTATCGTCGTTTCCATTTTCTCCCTTCCTTCCGTTCCCCGTAACCTCGACATCTGCAGCCGTGGTCGTGCTTCTGCTTTGCTCCTGCCTCCTCTCTACAGACTCGAGTTCCTTCTTCCCAAGCGTGTTTCATCCCACTCTTTCCCGCTTCTCCTCTCCCTCCCCGCACCCGGATTGTCTCCTCCTCGCGTCTCCCGCGTCTCGCGCCGCTTGTTTAAATCCCTCCACCGCTACCCGCCCGCCCTCCTGCTCTTTCCCGACGCCGCATCCGCCCCGTCCTTGCGCCTGGTGCCGGCAGGTCAGGAGGCAAGGTGTCGTTTAAGGTCACACTAACGTCAGACCCGAAGCTTCCTTATAAAGTGTAAGTGTAAAGTAGTGCGTAACGGGCGTCGATCCGCTGTGGCACCTGCTCTCGGTCCCGCGCTGTATCACCACGGTTGTCAGGGACCCACGCGGATCGTGAACGTGCGCGAGACACGGTGCGCTACCCTCCGGCAGTGCTTCTCCACCCGCCACGAGCCTCGCAGGGCTTGGCACCTATGCCCCTCCTGCCGCTGCCCCCGCTCCCCCCACTTCAGCTGCCGTCCGTGGCCCGAAACTTACCAGGCGCACTTGACGCACTGCCTCGCGAATGAGCCGTGCACACATGTGCAAATCGCGTGCTCTCATAGGCTGCTCGTCAGCTGTCCTTAGAGAGGCTGAGCCGTGCCTTTGGCCCCCCGCCAGGACGTTCGGTTTCACATTGTGTTGCACAGGGAGCCACGGGCAACAGCCGCTGCTCCCTGTAAAAATACCGCCTCTCGTGTCTCGCTCCCGCTTTCCCTCTCCCTTCCCCATCCCATAACCTTCTGTCATTCTCACAGCTCGGTGCTCTTCCTCCTCTTTCGCCCCGTCCACCCCTCCCCGCCCCCCCTGCCCTCCCCCTGCGTGCAGGTTCAACGTGCCGGAGGAGGCGCCGTTCACAGCGGTGCTCAAGTTCGCAGCGGAGGAGTTCAAGGTGCCGCCGCAGACCAGCGCCATCATCACCAACGGTGGGTGCCCCGGCCACCACCTTCGGCCTTGAGCAAACCGCTCCCGCACAATCGGCATGGTTTTATTTAGGCTATTTTCTTGATTTCTCAACATCGGGCTACTTGAAAGATCGGTTGATTATTTGTTTTCTTGAAAATATCGAGGCTGTTCTTGAACTGACAGGGGTGTGCTTTAATTGTTGTTCATGATCCAGCCCTTGTTCACTTTCCCTTCGTTTTACTGGTTCCTGGAACTCCCCCTTGCTCTTTTTTTGTGTGTTGGCTGCTACTTGCATTGATGGTGCTTGCAGATGGAGTGGGCATCAACCCTCAACAAAGTGCTGGTGGGTTGTCATGGCCTCCATGCCTCCACTCTTCGCCTCCCTTTAGATGGCCGGGATATTCTTCCTTCAGCAGCAGCATCTCCAATCTCTCTTTCGCTCTTTCACTTTCTCAAGTGACCACACACAAGCATGTCGCATGACACATGTTATGCCCACATCCCTTTGCTCATACCATGCTCTGTTCTCTGTTTCTTCCCGTTTTCTTCCAACCAGGAAATGTCTTTTTGAAGCATGGTTCTGATCTCCGCCTTATTCCGCGCGATCGAGTTGGCTGTTTCTCCTGCTGATAGGGAGTTGTTTGTAGATGTGATGTTTGAATCATAATATTTTTCTTCTTTAGTAATAACCAGATTGACTGGTATTGGCAATTTGGCACACATCAGCCAATAGTCCAGTAGTAACGGTTCTCTCCTAATTCTATTTTCTTGGTGCGTTATGAGATGTGTAGCAGCTATGCTACTCTTGATGGTATGTGCCGTGCTACTCTTGAAGCAATGACCACATTGACACACCACTTCAGTGTACACGGTGTATCAAAGTTCCAGCCACATTTTGGTCAAGACCGCTAGTATGTTTATGGAAATTTGACTCCATAAGGGTGGGTAGGTACATATTTACACTCAAATGCTGTACAGTGGGCAACACTGCTTTGCAACGGTATTACCCACCAACCTTGACATCAGGCGCAGCTCACATCCTCTTGATCTCATCAGACACCTCCCCCGCTTTGCGCTCCCCCTTGCGCAGAGCCCTCTTCCCCTTCTCCTCCACCTTCCTCGCGCCCTCCTTCAACTCCCCCTGCACATCGCGCAGTTCGTCCTTCGCGCGCTCGCCCCCCTCCTCCGCGTCCCCAACAAGCCTTTGCGCCCCGTCGCTGATCCTCTCCTGCGCGTCACCCACCGTCCCCTTCACGCTCTGCACTGCGCCCGACACCTTCTCCCCAGCAGCGTCCTTCGTTTTAGTCACATTCTCCGTGATGTCCTCGCCCATGTGCCTGATCCGCTCGAAGCCCTCGTGCAACCCTTCCTGCACGGTCTCGTACGCGTCCTTGATCCCCTCCTTGGCGCGGTCGATAAGCCCCTCCGCCTGCTCCTTCGCCTCCTCCCCCGTCTCCTGCCCCCTGCGCGCAGCATCACGCGCCTGATCGCGCAGGTTCTCCCCGATTTCTCCCGCGCGGCCGCGAACCTTCTCCCCAGCTTCCTTGGTCTGATCCCAGCTTGCCTGGGTGTTCTGCTTCAGCCTGTCAGCGGCCTCCGACGCCTTAGCGCGCACATCATCCCCCGCGTGGGCAGCTCTTTCGCGCTGCTCCTCGAACTTCTCCCGCGCCTGCTCCGCGGACCTCTGCCCCGCGCTCAGGATGCTCTCTCCCGTATCCTGCGCCCACTGCCCCGCCTCGCGCCCTTGCTCCTGCGCCTTCTCCCCCGCCTTCTGCGACTGGGACTGGAAGCCCTGCGCCGCGTGCTCCGCCTGGTCCCATGCCTGCTCGCCCACGCGCTGCGCCTCGCTGCGGAACTCCTCCCCCGCCCTCTCCCCGCGCTCCCGCGCGTCCTCCAGCCGCTCTTTGAGGTCGTTCGCCTGGCGCTCCGCGCGCTCCTTGCGGTCTTCAATCTGCAGTCGTAACAAAAGGGATTGGATGGGAGAAAGGTGGAATGTGAGGCTCAGGAAATGTCGCAGTGCGACTGACTGGGATGTTGCAAGCGACGGGTGAAGGAATCCAGGATCTTCCGCGCGTGGGCTACGAGCGACTTACGAACTCGTCCTGCGACTTGGCCGAGATCTTCAACGCGGGAAGGCGCCTCGTGACGACCAGGCGCGACGGACGGAGAGAGACGCCGCCGCGAGAGCGAAGTGACGCGGCGAGGTTAGGGAAAGCGGCAGCAACGGGCGCGACGGCCACGGAGATGGTCATTGCGTGGGCCATTCTTGCAGGGTGAGGTTACTGGAATCTCGAGGGGAAAAGAACGAGATAACATGAACTGCGCAAGTGGAGAGAAGATGAGGCAGAGACGAGAATACAATGCCAAGGGCGAGCTCTAATTTCTATGAGCCCTGCGAAAGGCACACCACACCGCGCGCTCCGTCGCCTAGACCACCCAGCTATGCGGCTTGGCTCGGCTTCGAGTCTGCCAGCCATTCCGCGAGACTGCTGCGAGGCCTCCACGTGGTGACTGCAATGCATTGCATGCGGCGTGGTGGTGCTCGAAGGGTTCGTCGGCAATTGAGAAATTGACGCCTCTTACTGGTCTCCGATACTCCCAACAAGATTGCAAAAAGTTATACACAAGACTACTTTCGGCTAGATTACAAAAGAGCTCCCCCCTTTGCTATTTTAGCCTGTGATTTTAAGCGGTCTTCATATATATTACAATTACAGCGTAGCTTATACGACACTTCCGTTGCAGTTGACTTCCCAGGGAGAGATTAGGTGCCTTTTCATTTCAATTAACCCACGCATAATTTCGTCTCATTGCTTCTACAATGCACTTATTTGCGTTATTCCGTCCGACTAACAACTGGTTTTTTTTTTTTTTTTTTCGGGTTCACCTAATACAAGTAATCTGTAGGACACTTAGCGTAAGGTGCACACCGTGCATATTCTACTATGCTTGCCATCACCCTACATACTTCCAACGCGTTTTTCCCTGGCGTTTTTCTACGGTTATCAACTTGCCAACCACTAACGGGGTGGCAAGTGGCCGTTCAAGGCTGCTGTCCCACTGATGTTTAGCGAGAGAGCCTAAGCCGTGAGCACGAGCCGTTTTGATGCAGCAACAAGGGAGCACAGAAGAGAAGGAACCACGGATAGCGTAGGCTTATGGAGTCGAGGGAGCGGGGGAATGCCTCGGAAAGGAGGAGGGCTAGGGAGGGGCGTCGTGGGTCGCCTGGAGAAAGGAGAGACTCGAGTAAGGGGCGAGAGGGGTGCAGGAGCGTGACGGACGAGCAGCGGCATGTGCGGCGACGAGGAGAGACGGGAGCAGGAGGAGAGCGGGAGGACGACGAGTGGGGCAGGGAGGGGCGAGGAGGCAATGCGGACAAACGGCGAGAGTGGGAGAGCGAGGCGAGGCGGGAGAGGGAGAGGGAAATGGAGAGGGAGAGGGAGAGACGCAGGAGCAGCAGCCGTGCGAGAAAGAGCGAGCGGACGGAGGATGGGCAATGTGTTGACGCGGCAGCCAGGAACCGCGAACGAACGCATCAGCAGCATCAGGGGTGGGGTGGGGGGGGCCAGTTGGTGTGGTACGGTCACGAGGAGTACCACCCGGTGCAGGCGGGCAGCATCGACGGCACGGACACGCGCCCCCATGACCGCGGCATCAAGCGCGCCCTCATGGCGCGCCGCCTCGCAGCTTGTCAGTCACCCCAACCCGCCCTCCGCTCACCCCGCCTGCTCTCTCTCTCTCTCCCTCTCTCGCCCCCTCCCCCGCGCTCTTGCTCGCCACCATCCATCCCTATCGCCTGTGCGCATGGCCCCATGGAAGCTCCGGCAGCCCTGTGCTCGTCCGCCCACGTGCCCAGTCGGCAAAGCTCATGCTGGCCGCCATGGCTCTTCCACTCTCCCTCTCCCCATGCTTGCATGCTCCAGACGACCCCGCCTCCGACCCCTGCGCGGCCAGCGTGGACGCCTCGCGCACGCTCTTCGTATGCCGCCTGCTGCCCGCCACCACGGAGGGGCGCCTGCTGCAGGTGCGCTCATGGCGCACAGGGAACAAGGGGACGCACTCTCTGCTTGCTGCTCTATTTGCGGGCTGATGAGTGCGTGTGCGTGCGTGCAGGCAGCAGAGGCACATGGCAGTGTGCAGCGGTTGCGGATTGTGCGCAACATTGGTACTCTCTGATTCCCTCTTTCCCAGCCCACCTTGCTCCCCGGCTACCTTCCCTACAGTATTCCCTCTCTTCCTCCAACATTCCTCCCATCTCTTTCTCTCCCATCTCTTTCTCTCCCATCTCTTTCTCTCCCATCTCTTTCTCTCCCATCTCTTTCTCTCCCATCTCTTTCTCTCCCATCTGTTTCTTTCACAGTGTCTGTCCCGTGAGCTGTGCTCCGCGGTTCCATGCCTTAGCCACCCACGGATATTTTTTTCCTCCTATTGTGCAGTCCTTACCACTTGTTTTCTTCATCCCGTCACTCGCTGTTTGCGGGCCTCTGCTCTCCTCAACGTGTGTGTGCCCATGGCAGTGACGGGTGCATCTCGAGGCTATGCCTTCATAGAGTACGCCTCGGCTCAACACTTTGACAGAGCGTACCGGGTACGACATGCAGGCAGCAACGAATGCGCGTCCACAACTTCACTGCAGCGTTGTGTCGCTGTCCCCCTCAAAACTGCTTGCGGTGAACATTGCTTTGTTCGTTTTGTTCATTCGCCTAGCCCACAGCTGTCATTTTCAGCTGCAAAGGCATTTGTTTCCCCTCCTTGTCCTCTGTGCCGGTCGGTCCACCTGTGCAGCGAGGGTTGGACCTGGAGGGTGTGGGGGGGCGGCAGGTGCTGGTGGACTTCTACCGCCAAGGGCTGCTGCCAGGATGGCTGCCTCGCAGATATGGTGGGTGTGAGCACTTGGGGTGCTGGGATGCTGGGATGCTGGGAGCAATGTGATTCTCTTGCCGTGTGTCACATTATCAGTGGCAACGTTATCTGATTAGATCCAGGATGGCACTGTGCACCTGTTTCCACTGCTGCATTCACGCGATGCTGGGCCACAAGTCTCATGTGTGCATAAATGCTTGCATTGACCAGGAGGTGGCGTCGGGGGGAGGAAGGAATCAGGGCAGATTCGGTTTGGCTGTCGAGATCGGCCGTTCAAAGTCCCCTTGTGAGCTGCGTGCCTTCTTGCTGTACCATTCACACATCGTGCCATACCTGCACAGTTCGCATGCGCACAGTTCACATGCGCACAGTTCTCACATGCACATGAAGCGATTCCCTTGTGCTCCAAGCATGCTTTCGAGCCTGCAGCCCTTTCTTGTTGGCATGTCGATCCTCGATCGGAATGTGGCAATTTCTCATCCACATCTTTTCCATGGCAGGAGGGAGGTCCCCGTGGAGCAGCTTCAGAAGCTCGGCATTCCGTTGCCGCCTCAAGGAAGATTTCACTCCACCCACCAAGTATTTCCTTGCATCTGGAAGCGTCTCAATAACACAATTCCACACAACCTCTTGCGTTAGGCGTTAGGTTTTTCCCATATTCCTTGTGCTACATTGTTTACCCCTCATGCATACGTGTACCTTTTCACCTTGCATTCGCATGGGTCCTGTCCTGTGCTCTTTGGCAGGTACCTCCCCTTCCAAGTTCACTGGGAACGAAGTGAGAGGAGCGGAGGGCTCTGTCTGTCTGTACATACCCGGGGGTAGGTGGGCAATGGAAAAAATGGGTGGTCATAAGTCCTTGGGAGTGGCTTCAATGAAGCGCTTGATAGCTTTTTCGAAGGTTTAGTCGTTGGGGCGCCGGCCGGTGCTCGTTTGAAGTTGGCTGGTCAACCAGTGGTGTCTAGCAGTATCTTATCTAGGCTTGTTTGTATAATGTCATATGGAGCTTGAAATAGTTCTGCGCTGTATGTGTGAGATATTTCGTACGGTTTATGAATGGGAGGAAGCTATACAAGACCGTCATGCTGTAAAGCGGGAAAACACTGTCAGGAGGTGCGGCGCCTGCTCCAGGTGTGTCAGACAGGTCTGGGCGAACCTCCGCATTCCACGTGGCCTCGCCATACCTGGGAATTCCCCCAGGGCCGCCTCCCCTAAGAATGCCAACCTGCCAGGCCACATGGTTTCCCGCCTTGCGCCCCTGCCCTCCCCCATGAGTCAACACGACCTGCCGCCCGTGTCCCTCTCCATTGCGTACCTCCCCCACCTCGCATCTACATCACACTCTGCGCCGCAAAACTCTGCTGCGCTGCCTGGAACCGCGCTCCTTGTCCACACTAACATAGCTTACTACGGCGTCTCCAGGCGGAAGGACTGAGGCCGGTCTACCTTTTCCGAGGGCGGCTGCGAGCTGCTTGGTCTGGCCGTTTAGACCTCCTCCTGCTGCGAGTCCCGTCAGATTCATCACCCTAACAGGTTTCTTCTTTATTGAGCATTCGCCTGTGAATCCCGGTCCTTGGTTGCATATGCGTAGGCGATCTACCATCGAGCAGCCGTCAGATAAGGTTGAAGTCTCTCAGTCAGCGACTGGGCCTCGCAGTCAAGCTCGTCCAGCCACGGACGGTCAGCAAGCACCCGCCAGCATGTCGGTCGGCGATCGCGTGCGCGACTTCTTCAAGTCCGACGCGGCGAAGCTCGTCCTCTGCGTGAGCGGAGTGGTGGGCACGCTCATGATCTATGGCGTCATGCAGGTACGGCACCATGCCACCTTTCGTCCTCGCCTCAACGCATTCCCCCACTCGTGCTGCAATGTCCAACGATACTTCTGAATTCTTTCGCAGATCTCACTTTTCCGTCTCCCTGAAATCCCTTTCCTTAATGCGTCGAAATCCCCCAACAGGAGCGGATCATGCGGCAGCCGTACGGGCCCGACGGCGAGTATTTCCAGCACTCGCTCTTCATCGTGCTCTGCAATCGACTGCTCGCCATCGCCATGGCCATCACCGCGCTCCTGGTCAGTTGCACTGGCATCTATCGTTGTGGCTCACCCGTTGACGCGTGCGCCCTTGTCTCCCCCTGCGCGCCGCTCGCTTTCCGAGGCTTGCGTTGATTCGCTTCCCTAAAGCCGACCTGGTGTCCTTGTGTTACCTTGACCTCCCAGATTGTCGCTCATTTAATGCGTTCGATCTCCGTTGCCCTCCCGTGGCATTTCAGATCAAGGGCAAATCCATGGCTCCCGTCGCGCCGCTCTACTCCTACGCCGCCGTGTCGCTCTCCAATGTCGTCGCCACGGGCTGCCAGTACGAGGTACGGCGTCCTTCCGCAACCCCGTTGACTCCTTACGCCAGTCGCCAGTCGCCCTTACCTTGGGTGCTTCACCTCAAGATTTTCCGTCAACTGCATGCCATGTCCTTGTGTCCGGTGTGCTTGTTCTGCTTGGCTTCCCCATCAGGCGCTCAAGTACGTCAGCTTCCCGCTGCAAACCCTCGCCAAGTCCGCCAAGATGATCCCCGTTATGGTAACACTCTCGAAACACCTTGTGATAGCGTAAAGCTACGTTGTCGTCACTGCGTTCGGTTCCATCTCCTTCGTCGCTGAAATCCACATTCCGTCAATGTCTCTGCTCCCGCGCGCTGCCTCCCGCGCGCTGCCTCCCGCGCGCTCCCTCCCGCGCGCTGCCTTTTCCACGTTCTGGCGCTGCTCCCTCGCGCTCCTTTCCATGTCTCCCCCCGGGTCAGATCTGGGGCACGGCCATAATGCAGAAGGTGTACGGCGTCAAGGACTACGCCGTGGCGCTGCTCGTCACCGCCGGCTGCGCCATCTTCGTGCTGTACGGGGTGAGAATATATCGGGTAGAGTATTAACGGGTAAGACGTCGACGGGTGAGTCAGTGGCGGGGTGTTGGAATGGCAGGGATGGTGGAGAAGGTGCATCGCCAATCGGGGATTCGGAAGGAAAGAAGCAGTGCTTACACTGGGTGTGAGCGGGGAGAAGCAGCGGCAGGAGTGGCGAGGGTATGAGTGGCGGGGATTCGTGGACATGTGTTACACACAAGAACGAATAGCATCGAGAAAGCTAATGAACTTGGAAGGAGTGAAAAAAATAAACGTAGTCCTTTCCCCGCCTTTTATTTCTCACTCGCGTTCCACTCCTCTCCGCGTTCCCCTCCCCCATCCTCTAGTCACTTTTGTAGCCCCCCCTCCCCTCACCTCCGCCAGACAAAGTGACCGCACAAACACGGACGCACCTGTCTCGTTCTCCTTCCACCTGCTCCTCTCCACCAACCAGCGTCGTCCTTGCCGCTCGCCCCTTGCCCCTTGTCCCTTGCCCCACCCCCCTTGCCCCACGGTCATCAGGGCGAGGGCCACCACCACCACAAGCAGGTGGATTCCACGTTCTGGGGCATTCTGCTCATGGTCGGATACCTGGGGTAAGTCTCCTCATGCTCCCTCTGCGCCCGCCTCTGCCCACCGCCCTTCCTTCTGCTCCGTCTGTTGTGCCTTGCGTGCAGCTGTGCGGCGTTCTGTCAACGCCCTGTCTTTTCCAATAACACCTTGTGCCTCCTGCTCCTGCAAAGCTACTGCCATTCGTGCGTCCCCCATCCCCTCCACCCCTTTGCGTGCTTAGGTTTGACGGGTTCACGTCGACGTTCCAGGACAAGCTGTTCAAGGGGTACAAGATGGACACGTTCAACCAGATCCTCTACATCTCCTCCTGGTCCGCGCTGCTCTCCCTCATCGGTGAGCGCACAGTCGGGGCACGGGGCTCAGGGGTGCACGTTCCTCCCACACGGCACTAAACACGTCCTTCTATTCTTCATTATCCACCGCCTGAGATGCCCTGAGTCCGGGAGCTTCTTCTCTGCTGTCTGCATGCAGCCAATTGGTGCCACTGAGCGATCTTGTGCTGCTCTTCTCCCTGCCCGCCATGTGATCGTCTCAGGGCTGAACGTGAAGATGGTGGCGGCCATCCAGTTCGTCACCAAGTACCCCTCCTGCTTTCTGCACATCTTCCTGCTCTCTGCTGTGAGTCTCCTCCACCTGCTCCTCCGCCCGCACCTGCACCTGCATGCCTCTACTTCCTCCTTGCACCTCTTACCATGGTCCACCTGCACTCTCCATTCCGTCCGTGCTGCAGGCTGACTCCCTTGTGCGTCCCTGCACCTGACCCTCCTTTATTTCCTCGCGATTCTCTCGCCCCACCCCCCTCCCCCTCTGCCATCCCTGGCAGTCGGCGTCGACGAGCCAGTTCTTCATCTCCTACACCATCCGCACCTTCGGCGCGCTTGTCTTCGCCACCATCATGACCACGCGCCAGGTCACCCTCCCCTTCCTTCCCCGTTCATGTCTCTGCATGTGAAGCACGTATTTTTCCGTTTCCTCTTTTTTAGCCGCCCGTTTCCCTCTCCCTTTCGGCATTCCAGTCTATGTGAGTTGTGCCGTCCGGACATGAAACTGGCCATGCTGTCGTGGTTCTTTGCATGACTGATGTGCTTGTGTCCATAATCCCTTCCGTCCTGTTTGAATCAACCTCCACCGCTTCCTTAACCCCCTTTATCCCGTCACCCACCTTGCTCCCTCCCCACCCCCCTGTCGTGCACCAGCTTTTGAGCATTCTTCTCTCCACAGTCATCTACGGCCCTCCTCTCACATCGGGCCAGTTTGGCGGCACGGTAAGTGAAGCTCATGCTTTCACTTCTTCAGTGTGCCTACACGTTTTCGCCACTTTCTTCTCGTTTATATTCCCAGCCTGAGAATTTTCGTCATGCTCATTCACACTCGCACCTTCCCTTTTCTGCCCTCCAATGCCTATCCCCCCCAGGCCTTGGTGTTCTCGGCTCTGTACTACAAGGCGATAGCCGGCAAGAAGGCGGAGAGCAAAACCAAGCCAGCAGATGAGGGGCTGACCTCAGACGGCATGTCCGAGAAGGCTCTGGAGGCCAAGGAGTCAGACCCGCTGCTGGATGGGGACGACGGGTCTCAAGGGCAGCAGATGGGCCAAGTCAGCATGCAGGGCGGCCAACAAGCAGACTTGAGCAACAAGGTTTAAGGATGTGCAAGGACGTTGATGGAATATGGTGATAGTAATGTGGAAGTTTCGTTGCCACCTAGACCGCATGACCTGGCTAAGGCATGATATTATGCCATAACAGGTTGGAGGGTACAACCTATTTTGTCACTCGGCTTGCCTGCTAGTCGTGTACAACATCCTGATTGTTAAGGCTGACAGCGTCAGGTTTTAGGTGAAAGTGTGATGGAGAGGCATTGTTGTTTTACTTTATCGATTGTTGCTTGAACATTTTTAATGCCTAAACTTCTTAGACAGGGAGCCTTCAGCGCTGTACTAGAATAATGCATCCCCCACATACACTATCGCACACTTGCTCAGTTGTCAGACCCTGAGACGCGGCAATGTCCTCGCCACAACTTTTGACCGACTTTTCCTGGCTTCTAGGGACCTATGGTGTCTCGCCTAACGATGTTGACGACGCTCGGCGAAACTTTAAGCCAGCGAAATCGAGCCTCGCGAATCCCGTTCCACGCTGGAAGAGGGCTCGCAGTTCAGACTAGCACGTCATCCGCCACAAGAGCCCCAAACAGCAAAACACGGGTAACTGGGCTCCAGTTGCGTGCGACCATGCGACACTTCCACGTGGCCAGCAGAGCACTGTCCGTTAGGTCGCAGGCGGCAGGGAACCGAACCAACACGCACCCAAATCCGCAGCGCCACGCAGCCTTGTTTCAGCGCACTCATGCTCAGCCTTGTTACGAAGCTAGAGGTGGATCTTTCAGGGCGTGTAGCATTGTTTCGAACAGGCCTTTTTCTCGATCCTAGGCTCGCACAACGGCATTCGCGAAATGTGAACCGATAGAGAACGGCAAATCAAACATGTGCCAAGCATCGGCCGGTGAGAGCCAAATTGCAGGAACTGCTGCGCTCACTGCTGGAACATTTTCCGTGTACTGTCGCGCCTCGGAAATCGCGAATTCCTGACGACATCTGCGCATGCAGTTACTGTTGCAATTTTTCGGTGTTTGATTCGTGTTCAAAAAATGGTTCCACGCCCTAACGGCCCACGGACTACAAGGCAGCAGATTCAGTACCAGCCAGGTCTCCTGTCCTCTAGTAGTTTACAATACCCTTGGCGTGTCGCATCGCCTTCCCACCTTAGAGCCTGCCACATCACGGGGAATAGTTGCGGCATCAGCACTAAGGAGTCTAAAGGGGATTGCTAGCTCCTTCGGACCACACCGTTCCTCCAAAGACTTGTCCTCCGCCATGCCGTCCCTCGAGGCTCCCCTTTCCCTGCTCGGCTCGCAGCAGCCCTCCCTCGCGCCCTTAATGTCGCGCGGCTCGCACCTTTCCTCTAATTTTCTCGCCGGCTTTCGCCTCGGCGGTGCTGGCAGCCTCCAATTAAAGCGGGCGACATTCCCAAGCACCACGCGGGGTGCACGTCGCGCTGCGGTGCGAGCAGCTGTCACCGATAGGGTTCCATCGGGGGGGTTGGATGACGCGTACAATAGCGACGACGGCGGGTATGCCAGCGGCGGCGCTGCGAATGGCAGCTACACGAGAAACGGCAGTACCAATAGAGGCGTCGCGAGCAGCAGCAGCAGCACGAGCGCGTCGGGAGGTGCTCGCACGGTTCCGATCGACGTGGCGCTCGAGCGGATAAGAGGCGCCAAGGAAGAAGCCGCGGCACGGGCTCGAAGCGCCAGCGGAACCACAAGCAGCGTCTATTACGAGTCAGACACTAACGGGTCCGGCGCCTCGAGAGGCGGGACGATGGAAATCGTAGGTGGCTCCCTTTCGGGTTATCCCGCCGTGCCGACGGTCGGGCCGACGCTGGCGCAGCTGGGCGCGGCGGCGGGCGAGGGAGGCGTGCGGCAGCTGCCGTCGGACGAGACGTTCCGGTGGTCGCGCGAGGACTACAACGTGCTGCAGCGCACCGTCGACGTCTGGTCCGCCGTGCTCACGCTGCGCGCGCGCCTCGCGCTGGTGGACGCCAAGTGGTCGTACTTGGGCGGATTTACGGAGGACAAGCAGGTGCGCAGCGCATTATAGCCGGGAGAGGGTGGAGGGGTGGGAAGAGTAGCGAGGGATGCGCGTGCGTCGGGATGGTGCGTGTGTGGCCCCGTGGTAAATCGGGGCATTGAATTTCAAGGTTGTCTCTGCCCGATGAGCCATTCGCATAGCCGTGTGTGCTGTCGGCTGCCCGCCCTGCTGCAAGTCGGACGCCTTTTCTTCCCTCCAGCCCTCTATCTCCGTACCCCACCGTATTCTCCCCGTTCTCTCTTAACTGTTTCTCCCTCCCCTTTCCACCCACCCAACCCCTCCCCTCCCCCCTTTCCCCAAGCTCCACTCCCCCCACATCACCCCGACTCGTTCCCCCCCCCCCCCACACCCTCGTGCCTGGCAGCGGCTGCGGCGGCGGCGGTTGGCGGCGTGGGTGCGCGAGACGATTCTGCAGCTGGGCCCGACGTTCATCAAGCTGGGGCAGCTCTTCTCCACGCGCTCCGACCTTCTGCCAGCCGAATTCGTCGAGGAGCTCTCCAAGCTGCAGGTCACCCGCGCGCACCGCGCTTTTCCTGTTGCTTAAATGGCCCGTCTTTCCCACCATCCCCATTCCGCCCTTCTCCCCCCCTCCACCTCCTGGGAAAACATAGGATTCGATCCGCAGCAAGCCTCCTAAGAGTAGATCTAAGACTAGAACTAAGATCTAACAGCGAGAAAGGTAAGAGAAAGAACGTTCTCAAGTCAGAACGCCAGACCAATAGGCCCGGATGTCGCGTGCGAACGCGTTTCGGCCAACAATAGGCCTTCATCAGCGTATCCAACAATAGGTCTTTCCCACCATCCTCATTCCGCCCTTCTCCCCCCCTCCACCTCCTCCTTTTCTTCGTTCCCCCCCTTCCTGCGCTTCCCGAGTGCTGCACTCACCGCTTCTCCCATGCTCTCGTCCTGCGCCCCCCGCCTGCTGCACTTCCCCGAGTGTCTCCCTCCCCATCCCCCTCGCACCCGCTGCCATCAACCTATTTTCCCCCAACCTCCCCCCTCTCCGCCCCACCCTCTCCCCCACCTCTCCCCCCCCTCTTCCCCCCCCTCCGCTCCTCTGTGCAGGACCGCGTGCCGGCGTTCTCGGCGGACAAGGCGCGGGCGATGATAGAGGCGGAGCTGGGGCGGCCGTTGGGGGAGCTGTTTCAGGAGTTTGAGGGCACGCCCATCGCCGCGGCCAGCCTGGGGCAGGTGCACCGCGCCGTGCTTCACTCGGGGGAGGTCGTCGTGATCAAGGTGCAGCGCCCCGCGCTCAAACAGCTCTTCGACATCGACCTCGGTGCGCGGACGGGGAGGGGGGGGGTTTGGGGGGGGGGTGGGGTTGTGGAGGAGGGGGCTGTGAGTGAGAGATGCGTGTGCCTGGCTCATACCCCCCCTCTTAAAGCCAGGGACCCAAGTTTCTAGTACCTGGGGCAAGTGTTTCACAGTTGGTTGGGAAAAACCAGGTTTTGTGTCGAGAGGGTGCGTGAATAGCAACACTCGCAGGCGATTTCACTGGTGCATACAGCTCGCCGGCCAATCAGTAGTTCAGTCCCAACCAACTGTTTTACTGCTGGTAAACTTGGGTCCCTGGCTTTAACCGTCCCTCCCCCGCGCCCGCCCTCTCCACCTCGCTCCCCCCCCCCTGCGTGCGTGTTTGGCAGAGAACATGCGGCTGGTGTGTGAGTACTTCCAGAACAGCGAGAACCTGGGCGGGCCCACCAGGGACTGGGTGGGCATCTACGAGGAGTGCTGCACGTGAGCCACACACACCTTGCTCCGTTCCTTGCTCCGTTCCTTGCTCCGTTGCTTGCGTGCACACAGCTGCAGGACATGCATTGTCTTATCTCTCCTCCTCCTCACGCCATACGCCTCGGATGCCTCCTAGCCAGGCACACAGTCTGTAATCCCTGCAGATACAACCCCCCTCTGCTGCCCTTTCCATTGCAATCGCTCTCCCCTTCCCCCTTCTCATTTCCTCCTGCCCCCTTCCTCCTCCCCTCCCCACGCCTCTCTCCCCTCCCCGCTCCCCCTTCCCCTTCCCCTCCCCCACAGCGTGCTGTACCAGGAGATCGACTACCTGAACGAGGGGCGCAACGCAGACCGCTTCCGGCGCGACTTCCGACGGTACCCGTGGGTGCTGGTGCCGGAGGTGTACTGGGACTACAGCACGCGCAAGGTGCTGGCGCTCTCGTACCTGCCGGGCATCAAGATCTCCGACATCCAGCGCCTCGATGACGCCGGGGTCAACCGCCCGCTCGTGGCGCAGCGGGCCATTGAGGGGTACCTCATTCAGGTGGGGGAAGGGAGGGATGCAGAAGGTGGGAGACCTGGGGGATGGGGGGGGGTAGGGTGGGAGCCAGGGTTGGATTATGCTGGGTGGTGGTGATGAGTGAGTGAGTTTACTGTGAGGCTGGTTACTCTGTGACGCGGTGTCGTGCTGATGGTGTGAAAGATGGACCTACATCCCATCAGCACACGACAAACACATGGCCATCACATCACATGGCTTCCACAAACAACCTAGAATTCGTCGTGCCGAATGCCTCGGTGCGCAGACCACGCACACGTCCCTGATAAACCTCCCCTCCGCCAACCAACATCGAACACCAATGTTCACCCCCCTACTCTTCCTCTTGTGAAGTCTCCCTTCTCCCCGGCTGCTAACGCCCACTTCTTTCCACCTATCCCTCCTCCCCTCTCCTCCTCCTCTCCCACCCCCTTCCCCCAGATTCTCAAGACGGGTTTTTTCCACGCTGACCCGCATCCCGGCAACCTGGCGGTGGTGGCGGGGGACCGGCTGGTGTACTACGACTTCGGCATGATGGGCGAGATCCCCGCGTTCACCAAGGACCGGCTCACCAGCATGTTCTACGCCGTCTATGAGAAGGACGCCAAGAAGGTCATGCAGTCCCTCGTCGACCTGGGCGCGCTCGTGCCCACTGGCGACCTCAACTCGGTTAGTCGCACGCGCTCACGCTCTTGCTCACTTCCTGCGATCTCATACCCTTGTGCTGTTCCTTGGTCGACACGTGAACCTCCTTCCATACCCTCCACTTCGCACCCGCCTTCGCCTGCCTCGCCCCTGCCCACCCTTTTCCCTGGCTCGATTCGCTCCTCCCTCCATCCTCTTCCTGCCCACCAACCCTTTGGTCCCGGTGTGTGTGCATGGGTGCATGGGTACATGGGTGCATGGGTGCATGGGTGCATGGGTGCATGGGTGCATGGGTGCGTGGGTGCGTGGGTGCATGAGTGCATGGGTGCATGGGTGCATGGGCGGCACGGGTGTCATGGCACCAGGTGCGGCGGTCCATCCAGTACTTCCTGAACAACCTCACGGGGCCCAAGTTCGAGAGGGACGCCACCATCTCCGCCATCGGGGAGGTGAGCCCACGGGCACGGTGGGAAGGGGGGGGAAAAGAGGGCTGGAGAGGGGTGGAGAGGGGAAGGGCAGAAGGGTTGGTTTTGTAGGGTGACAAGTGGTCAGCAGCAGCAGTATGAGAGGGTATGGCATGCATGGCAGGTATCCGCTCCGCTGCCCTCACATTCCATCCACACCCTTGCATGTCCTCCCTGCTGCCCTTCCACGCTACATTCCCCCACCCCTCGCCGCCCACCCCAGGACCTGTTTGCCATTGCGGTGGACCAGCCGTTCCGCTTCCCCGCCACCTTCACCTTCGTGCTGCGCGCTTTCTCCACTCTCGAGGGTGAGCCCCCTGCACTCCGACGGTGGGAGGGCGATTGGGAAGGGGTGGGGGGGAGGGGGGGGGTGTTGTGGAATGACAGGATGGCAATGCACCATTTCATGAGCACATGTGTGAGGAGTCCATTTTTTAGGCGCCTCTCATAAATTTAATGAGCACATCTGCGAGATTGGAGTGAGAGAGGAGTGTGGGATGCGAGGAACTTGCATGCCCGACAGACAGCGCTCCGTGGCATCTTTTTTTTTTCAATTGCTGAAATCATATCCTTTTCCACGTCACCAGTCTCCTGACTCGTTCGCACTCTCCATCTCCAGACAATCACTCACTGTTCCCCCCCCCCCCCCCCCCCCCCTCTCCCCTCCCATTCCCCCCTCTGTATGTGCCTGTGTCCCCTGGCCTGGCAGGCGTGGGCGCCTACTTGGATCCCAACTTCTCTTTCGCGAGGATCGCTGCTCCGTACGCCCAGGTACTTGCTGTGCTGCCATGCCATGCCATGCAAGCCACCGCTGCTGTCAGCTACCCACTCCTCGCTTGCCTTGATACTGCCTGTCAGTTACTCCTGAGTCGACTCAAAAGTCACCTACAGTTATTCCTGCTGAGAAAGAACCATTAACCCGTCTTCGCTTGCTCGCATCCACTGTGCCATCCTGTACGTCCCTGTGCATGCTGCAGGAGCTGTTGGACCTGCGGGACGCTCAGCGTGGGCAGGACTATGTGGTGCAGCAGCTCACCAAGCAGGCCTCTGAGGTTAGTGCCAGTGCCGTGCGCTGTGATGTGTTGCCCCCCCCCTGTGAGGAGCGCAGGAGTTATTAAGGACTTGTGGATGAGCATTTGCTGCTGGTTACTACTCCCTTGCTGCCGTGCACTCATGCCTGCCATGCACTCGTGTCTGCCATGCACTCGTGTCTGCCATGCACTCATGTCTGCCATGCATTCACAGGGGCCCCCTTTCCCTCTCCCTTGTGTGATCAACCCCTGTGCTGCCGCCGATGCCCATGCCCATGCCCATGCCCATGCCCATGCCCATGCCCATGCCCATGCCCATGCCCATGCCCATGCCCATGCCCATGCCCATGCCCATGCCCATGCCCATGCCCATGCCCATGCCCGTATGTGCCTCGACTAGATGAACACTTGCTGATGGTTACTCTGTTGCTGCCATGCACCGATCCCTGCCATGCAGTCGGAGCAAGTGTGCAACCACAGGAGCCGCACTCAACTGGATGTGCATTGTGGCCGCGCTCCTTCTCCCCCGTGCCCCCATGCCCGTGTGTGCGTTGGCAGGTGACGGACGCCACGGTGTCGATGCCCATCCGGGTGCAGCGCATGGACGACCTGCTGCAGCAGATTGAGAACGGCGACCTCAAGCTCCGAGTCCGCGTGCTCGAGGTGGGCCACGCATGCCAGGGGGGGTTCAGGTGGGCCACGCATGCCAGGGGTTCAGGTGGGCCAGGAGCAGCGATGTGGCTTCTGGATCCACCCCGTTGGATCACGTTTCGTGTTTCTTCTTGAGTGTCTCTCATTCCATCTTGTATCCCACTGTGCCCTGTCTTTCCCTCACATGGTAACCGTGTGCCCTCCTCTTCGCCTCCCATTTCCAACTGCCCCCCCCCCCTCCCCTCCCCCAGGCGGAGCGGGCGGCGCGGCGGGCGGGCATCATGCAGGTGGCGACGTTGAACACGGTGGCAGCAGCGTCGCTGCTCAACATGGGCGTGTCGCTCACCACTGCCGCCATTGACGGGCCCGCCACCGCATGCTTCTGCTTCGCTGGTCAGATGCCTGCCATGCCCCCACCACCCCTCACTCACCTGCCCGCTTTTGCTCGCTGAATCTTTTATTTGTTCTGAATCCCAACGAGGCGGGTATCGGATCGGTATGTGAGAGTGTGAGCTTCCCACCACGGTCCTCTTGCTGTGCATCCTTGTATGTCTCCTCCAGCGCTTGCATGTCTCTTATTCATCACGTGTGTCCCCATGCATGCACCCTCCGCCTCTCTTGCATGCCGCGACCCGCCCTTCTTTCATGCTGTGGCATGGCAGGTGTGTTTGGCGTGGGAGCGCTGTGGGGATTGAAGCGCATCCAACGGCTAGACAAGTTTGAGAAGATGATTTGAGCAACCAACTGCTGGCTGTTAGCAAGGGAATCTACGCTCAAGCATAGGACACAACCACCGTGGAAGTCCTACGCTATGCTGTCTGCTCCTGTGGGTATTATTCCTCATGGAGGGCTAAAGCTGTCAAAGCGAGCACACTAGCCAGTGGTTTGAAGCACTGTGAAACCAAAAAGAGGTCACCCTATTAGCATATACAGTATGTACAAGGTGTTATACACAATGCCATGCAACATATATTCACAATCCCATGCAGGGAAGCACTCGGATCGGAGTCCCAGCGTACGCCACCAACAGTCACCCTAACTAACACCCCTCCTGATGGCCTCTGGTTGCAGATGAGACTATGTACACACGGCCTGCACCCACACGACGGCCCACACTTCCAACACTCCACTCACACGCCCACGCCCCCTCCCAGTGCTCCCACATCATCGAAGTCGCATGTCACCCGGTGCCTCTGCGTGTGCAGCGGCGCCGGGTGCACCATGTGGTGGCTCCATGACGGTGTGCCATCCTCGTACGGGTTGAACGTCAGCCGCTCCCACCGCCGCACACTCAACTGCCCCGCACTCCCATCCTTCCCAACCTCGCTGCCATGGTCACTGCTGCTGTTCCTGACACTGTCGTTGTCACTGTCGCTGCTGTTGCTGCTGACAGCAGCAGCAGCAGCAGCAGCTGCAGCAGCTGCAGGCTGCGGCGGATGGTCGGTCCGGTTCAACTCGAGCAGGAATATCTCTCCGTACGGCTGGAACTGCTGGGGGTACGCTGTGGGGTCCGCTGACATGCCTGCCACGTCAGCAGTGACAACGAGGAAGCGGCCATCGGGACTGAAAGCTGCATGGTTGACCCGCCCCCATGGCCCGTTGTGCCACAGACACACCACCCCCTGCTGCTGCTGACCTGCTGTCCCCTGCCGTTTCTCCTCCTGCCCATTTGATGCGCCATCACCAACACCCGTTGCACCAGTCTCAAACTTGCTTACAGCACCACCGACACCAGCAGCAACAGCAGCAGCAGCAGCAGGAGAGGCAGCGGAGTGGGGAGGCAGCACGACTGGCATGGCATAGAGAGCAAAGCCCTTGCTTTTATCCCGATCGGAGCTGAACACAATCCACCTGCCCCACGGGTCCCATGCCGCCATGGTGTCGGTCCACGCCCCCTCGCTCACCTGCCACACGCCACCGCGCTCCCCCTGCTGCGCCCCCATGAGGAACAGGTTCTTGTGGCCCGTGCGCGCCGACCGGAACACAAGCCACCGCCCACACGGTGACGGCGCAGGGAAGGCGTTGTTGCGCATGCCGGGGAGAGTGAGGTAGCGCCATGCCACACCACCCGCACCGCCACAACCCGTGCTGCTGTCACCACTGCCCTCCTCTTTCCCCGGCCCCCCAGCCCCTCCCTCTGCCTGTGCCTGTGCCTTCCCCTCGCCCTTCTGCCCATCCCCAAACAGCCATGCGCCCACCCCTGACACTTCCACCACATGTACCTCCGCTGCCTCAGGTGCAAAGCCCTGCCCCGCACTGGTGTACAGCACCCCGGGCACCGCGGGGCTCCATGCCAGCCCAAACGCCGGGCCCTTGAACACGCACCTCTGCACCGCACTGCCATCCGCCGGCACCACATAGACGCCGGCTTGGGCGCCGCTGAGAGCAAGGATGAAGGCCAGCAGACGGCCGTCTGGGGAGAGCGCGGGGAAGAGGCCCGCCACGCGGATGAGGGAGAGGGGCGCGGAGGGCGGCAGGGGAGTGGCCATGGACTCAACATAGTACCCCTCGCAGTCCCTGCATGTGGGCTGGAGTGTGAGCGGGCGTGCTTCTAACACAGCAGCCTGCGGCTCTTGCCTGCGCAACTCAGCCGCCTCCCCCTCACTGCTGCCCACTCCCTCATTGCCCAGTGCATCTCGCGCTGCCGCACACCGGCAGCGGTGGTACGCCACACGGGACCCGTCGGGCGCCACAGATGGTGAGTAGTGATTGGCGGACGGGTTGATGTGCTGAGTCAGCATGTACAGCTGGCGGGACGGCAGGTGAAGCAGCTCCACGTGGCGGAAGGGCGAGGGGGGGCGGCGGGTGGTGAGGGCGATGAAGGGGCCGCAGGGGGATGGGGCAGCGGAGGAGGGCGTGAGGGCGTGCAGCCCGGAAGGGGTGAGCCGCTCTTCCTTGCCCACCCCGATGCTTGCCTCTCCGTCCCCTGCACTGGTTTCTGCTTTGGATGTTGCGCCACTCCAGCCATCTACGTGTTTGCCACCCCCCTGCCCCCCCTGCCCCTCATCTCCAGGCACGTCCAGCCGCACCTGGAGCACACTGAACCACCCCTCCGCGCCCCCCTGCTGCGCCCCTTCCCCAGCCCCATGCCCCCCCTCCTCTCCCCCGCGCACGAGGCGGTGGAAGAGGAGCGTGGAGTCGTCCTCCCCCCATGCCGGCCACCCGCCCTGCGCCACCACCTGCTGCCGGTGCTTGCCGTCCGGCAGGCGCATCACATGGATGGCGGTGGGCAGCGCCAGCAGGTCCCTCTGCTGCATGCCCACACCTGTGTCCGGGCGGTAGCGAGCAGGCGCAGAGGCGACAGCAAGCCAGCGACCCGAGGGGGAGACACTGGGAGAGAAGTCAGAGAGATGAGCGGGTGTCACACAGTGCTGGGCGACGACAAGGGGAGGGGGAGAGCGGGGGGCGGAGAGGGGGTTGTGCAAAAGTTGAAAACAAGAGGGGGGAACTCGAAAGGGGTGGGTTTAGAGAGCAGCAATGGAGCAGTGGGAGTGACCACTGAAGCAACCAAACTGACGTACCACGACTAAAACAGCAGACTCTGGCGACGAATGCACAGGGCAAGGGGGAGAAGGCGAGTGCGAAGCTTAGCTGTGGTGGTGTCATTGCCCGCCATGTGCTGCACGTGCACCGCACTCCAACTCAACCACGCTGCATGGCCCTCCCCCGCCACTCCTCCCCTCCCTTGCCCTCCCGCACATCCGCCTCCCACCCCCCCCTGTGCACTGTGATTGGGCTGCGTGCGAGCGAAGACAAGGTAGGGGCCAGCAGCAGCGATGGCAGGCCTGTCATGCCACGCCACGCCGTGGGTCAGCTGTATGGCTGCACGCCCACCGCCATGCCCACTTCCCTGCACTCCCTCTCCGCCCTGTCTCTGCTCGCTGTGCTTGCCCTGACATGCTCGCAGCACGCCGCCCTTGTTGTCCTCCCTGCCATGGCCACCAGCCCCCTCCAGCAGCCCCCTCTTACCCCCTTGCCCCCCCCCCTGCCCCACCACCTGCCGCACTGCCAATCTCTCCCACTGCCCCTGCATCTCCTGCAACCCCTCCTGCTGCCTCGCATGTACCTCCCCTCCCTCCATGTCAGCACCACCCACACCACCGCTCTTCACCCCGCCTCCTCGCTCCCCCACCACCTCCTTCCCCCCCCCGCTCCTCTCCCCTGCCCCTCCCCGCACCTCGCAGAACATCACGTTCCCCGCCCCGCCCTCCCCCTCCCCCACGAACACCAGCCCCAAATCACCGCCTCCACGCCCCCCCGTGCCCTCTCCCCCCACATGCGGTTCCCTCGGCCTTCCCCCTGCCTCTCCGCGCGCCACCTCTACCCCCGTGCCATCTCTCTTGGCCCGCACGCCCGCTGTGAACTGTGCGCTGTGGCTGGCGCTGCCCCTCGCCGCTGTGTGCCGCCACTCGCTTACCGTCACAGGCCCGCCGTTCCTTCCTGCGCCACTCCCGCATCCCGCCTCCGCTTCTTGTCTTCCCTCCCACAGCCCCTGCTGCCCCTTACTGCCAGAATTGCCTCTTCCCCTTGCGGGGCACTCTACGCGCATGCCGTTGCCCGCACCGCGTGCTGCCTTGCCTGCGGTGTCTGCACCGGAGGCAGGAGCGCGAGTGTCAGCGGGCAGAGCTGGGGACGCGGGCAGCGACTGGCGGAAGAAGAGGGGCGGCAGAGCGGCGGAGTAGACATCGAAGGCGTACTGCGTGCGACCCACCACCGAGAATAGGACACTGCCGCTCGGCAGTATTCGTGCCATAGCCAGGGGCTCGCCCAAAGGATCGCCAGATACCCCGCTACGAGCGTGCAGCTGCTCTCCTGCTCCGCGCGACGTCTCTAACTTTGGCATACCTGGGTCTCGGTCTACTGGGGTTGGAAAGGACGAGCGAATTAATGGTGTGCGTGATGCAACAGCGGACATGCGGGGCGGGGAGAACGGAAGCAGCAGCAGCAGTGAAGCGAGCGACGAGAGAGAGGGAAGCATGCAGACGGAAACCAGAAATGGGATTGGACGAAAGTGGAAGCTCCTTGTCAGGTTTGCGAGAGGCGGAAGAAGGGGAGGGGAAGCCATGGGATGGAATGTGCGCTGCAGGAGGTGGCTGGAGAAGTACTTGTCGCCCACGCTGAGAACCAAGAAAGTCCCCACACACAATTCGTTACAAGACTAGCACTGCGCCTGCCACTGTAACCTTAGAACCTCTGTAACTCATGCATGACGCTTCGCGTGTAAACATATTCCTACTGTCCAAGAGCGACAAGCAACCTCGTTTGATAAAAGAAAGGGGCCAAGAATCGCCTTACAAAAACTTCTACAGGCTATCGTGAAGCATACAAATGAATGCACGCTTCTAGAAGCTCCTTCGCTTGCTCAACAGCCACGTGGAACAAGCATGCCATATCTGCAAAGGTCTTAGGCTCCCATTTTTTCCCACAGTCCGCACACCAGGTGAGGGGCATGTAAAAGTAGACAAGGTAGTGCCTGCTCTGACATGAAGGGCAATGCAAGGAGCTCCCTTCAGGTAGCGTGATGGGAAGCACAAGTGACTGATTGCGAAGCGCCCTTCGTATCTGCACTGCTCCAGCATGTGGGTCATCATACATGGCGCGGACCTTGGTATAGAGGCTCAGACGAGCATCGCACAGGTCCGGCTGGACCACCTTCTGCTGAAACTGGTCAATCAAGGTCCTGCAGTAAGAGAAGGAGAATGTACAGTCACATGATCAGGAACAATGACAAGATACAGAAAAACGGGAATAGTTCCAATACGTCAGCCAGACAATACTACCAGAGGCGTCCGTGGCTGCAAAGCTGTCCACTCTTCAGTGTGGGGCATAAGGTGCACCGGATGGCATAATGGCAGAGGTTGAGGCGGAAATTAGATCCATTACTCTCGAACAGAAGCGGATCTTGGTACCCCCGTGGCATGGGAACTACAGGCGCTGGCCGCAATTGGCGCACGAGGGGCGGACATGAGATGAAGGGAAAGGAAGTGGGGCTGCAGGGCGCATCAGCATCGTTACGTGGAGTCTTGTCCCCATTGCCATTGCTACAGCCATCCTGGCTAGCAGGAGGCAAATGAATTCCCATGTCAACCTCGAGGAAGTCCAACGTGGATCGAAGAGTAGCCAGATCGTCACTGCGGAGTTTTGGGTGACTCTGCGGTAACACAGCCATGAGTAGGAAATCGTCACAGGGACATGAAAGACACACCATGATGAAAGACCTGCAGGATTCAGGAAGTTTGTTGTATTCGCTCATATCAGATGACATCGATTCCATGGTACCTGGAGTTCTTTGTACGCCAGAAGCAGCATGACCCGCGAGAAATCTCCGGCATCAACGGATTTCAGCTCACAACTGTCAACCGCCGCACAACCATCCCTATCCCCACTCTCCTCTTCCATCGCCGCGGCTTCCGCGCCATTCGCGCTGCTCTGGCCTGCGACGGCGGTCCATCGGTCGCTGAGCAGCGAGGCGAGGAACGGCGAGTGCCGCGAGAGCAGCGACGCGCTGCAGAGGAACGGCGTCCTGTCCGGCCCCACCAGCAGCGACACCACTCGCGAGCCGCCCACGCTGAGCGCCTGCTTCGCTGCGGGCCGACCGTCATCGACGCCTGATTTTGATAGACGCTCCATGGCTGAATGCACGTCGGTCGATATAGACGTTTCACAGGATAGGAAACTCGTCAATACGCAGCAGTCTTTGAGACCACGGCATGGAAACAGAATGCAGAGGCCGTTGGCGATTGGGAGAGAAGTTAAGGAACATGTCCAGGGGATCGGTCGTCATGGTTGCCACAGAGGGCGCCGCCCGCACGAGTCGAGGCCATGGCGGGCGGCCACTTGGCAGCGATGCAGTCTGCACTGTGCGCAGTACTTCGAAAAGCTCCTAGGGAGACACCTACCGGTATGAACTCTCCCGTTATTGGGATAGCCAAGCAAGCACAACACTTTCATTGACACTTCCGTAAACACTAATAACGCCATACTTTGCACATGAAGGTGGGCATATGCGTCTTATCTTACCGCAACACCTTCTAGGACTATAACCAGATCACGAAGAACTCGTAGCCAGCCAGCATGCTTACTGCCAGCTGTACAAACGGATGCACTCCTCTAGGAGCTCCTTGGCTTGCTCCACAGCCGTGTGGAAAAAGGAGGACATGTCTGGAATGGTCTGCGGCACCCACTTCCACCCACAGTCCGCACACCAGGCAGAGGTTCGAAAGAGGTAGACTAGGCAGCGGAGGCTCCTGCACTGTGGGCAATGCAAGGACCCCCCTGCAGGCAGTGTGATGGGCAGCACGAGGGACTGAATGCTAAGCTCCTGTCGTATCTGCACCGAACCCAATCTCTGGTCGTCATACATGTTGCGCAGCTTGGAGTAGAGGCACAGCCGGGTCGTACAGAGGTCTGGCTGCACTACCTTCCGCTGTGTCCGGTCAACCAAAGCCCTGCAAACATAGGAGCACATGTGAATATATGTCAACTCAACACGGCCAGGAACAGTGTCACAAACTGGAGCAGAGACAAAATACAGTACCAGAGGTGGCCGTGGCCGCAGATGTGGCCGCTCCTGAGTCCCTGGCCGCTGGCCCAGCAGATGGTGCAGAGGATGGCATGGTGGCGGAGGTTGAGGCGGAACTTGGAGAACTCGTCCGGCTGCTCAAACAGCAGCGGGTCCTCGCACCCCGGCGGCACGCGCACTATAGGCACTGGCCGCAGCTGCTGCACGAGCGGCGGACAGGAAAAGGAGGTCAGGGAGACGCAGCTGGTGGTCGCAGTAGAACTGCAAGGGGAGTTGCTTCCCTTCTTGTCATTGCTGTGAAGGTCCCTGCCGCCATGTGCATTGTGGCTGTCCACGTCAACCTTGAGGAAGTCCAGCGTGGATCGTAGGGATTCCAGCTCCTCGATAGCAAGATCTGGTTGAGTCTGCGGGAAGACAGCCGTGGATGCAGAAACGCATCACACCAGAAACGAACGACATGACTTCATTGGCTGGTGGATGGTACCTGGAGCTGCTTGTACGCCAGGAGCAGCATCACTTGAGCGAAGTCTCCGCCATCCACGGACATGAGCTCGAAAGTATCCACCGCCGCGCTACCGCCCCTTTCACCGCTCTCCTCCCGCGCCACGGCCTCCGCGCCATCCTCGCTGCTGTGGGCAGCAGCGGCGGTCCATCGGTCGCTGAGCAGCGAGGCGAGGAACGGCGAGTGCCGCGAGAGCAGCGACGCGCTGCAGAGGAACGGCGTCCTGTCCGGCCCCACCAGCAGCGACACCATTCGCTCGGCGCCGAAGGTCAACTCCTGCTGCGCCCCAGTCCGTCCGTGGTGGACTTGTGATTTGAATGGGATGTCGGAGGCCATGGCTGGAATGACACACAGCGCCCACCGCCAGCGCGAACTGCACAATACTAATCGCCGCTCTCCGCGAGCCACTAGGAGGTCGAGGCGTTAGTCGCAGAGAAAGGCAGATGGCGGCAGGGCCTGACGGCAGTGCCGCCATGGCTGCTCCAAGTGCGGCGTGGCGAGGTGATGGGTGTGCGGAATGAGGTGATGGCCACTTGGCGTGTGATGCGGAACGGTATGTTCAGTTGTGAGGTGCTGCTCGGCATGAGAGAGGCACGTGGGCAAACGAGAGCGCATGCATGCGATGTAAACGCAACATAGATGGTTCCGTAGTAAATCGAATCTTTCCCAATCGAGGATAACAACCAACTCGTCCGTACTCCCATGCCATGCGCACAGCAATTTGCCCCTCCTCCCCTCCGCTGCCCCTTCGAGCTTCCGACTTAACCCATTCCGCCATCAACACTATGGCCGTGATCGGTAAGCCGTCATTCCGGAATACGGATGGTGTCGAGCAATTTCTCTGGGCTGGCTCGGAATAGGCTTAAAGCCAACCAATCTTTTTAATCACACCAAACCTCCTGGAATGTAGGTGTGTACCGATCACGGGAATGACGAAGTCTGGAATACGGAATGAGGAAAGGGCACCGTAGGTGCTGACTCGGGCGAAATCGTGCCAACCGCCGGTCGATGTGAATTCCAGCTCTTTTGCAAGAATAGCTGGGAATAGTGAAGAGTGGGGCAATCCAAACGCAATAACGGATGCCCTTATTTCGGAAACGGAAAACGTCGAATACCCACTACCAGCATGTGTCTGACCGCCAAGAAAACAAATTCAGGGTCGCATTTCGATATCCAGCCAGATGCAGGGCCCTAAACAAAACAAGAGGCGACGAAATCGTATTAGGGTTGCGGAGCTCTATTGTATAAAAAATACGAAAAAAATACTTTTGCTAGTATACTATTCAGAAATAACCCAAACCCGAAGTATACAACATTTAGAAGTGTATGTAAATGAAACATATTCTGGGTTTTAATATTAGTCAAATTATGAACATGTCACGACTGCCAAGCGTGAAAACCGCCACCTAGAGCTGGTTCTTCTATTTCCATGTCTTAGATTCTTATGTTACTTTTCTGTATTGTATATTATTACGCTACAATTCTTACTTTATCTCGTTTTCGTTTTCGTTTTAGTGTCGTCTTTCTCGATACTGTGCGATATGATTTCCCTGCCCGGTGGCGAAAGTTGCCACCTGGCAGATTTTGTTTTTTTTGCGCCTAGCGGCGAGGCTCGTCACGCGCACAATTTCTGACGGAAAATACTGTAGCCGTCCAGTGACGTCAAATTTGTTCTGCCACCCGTTCGGATTTTTTTTCGTCAAAGCGATTCGACTTTTTCAACGACGCGAATTACGAGGGCGTATTTTAAATTTCGAATTTCATTGATGTTTACCGATTAGTTGGTTGTGGAACTGGCAATACGCGAAACAATGAATTTCGAACTCGTAGTTCCGTAGTATTGAATGCAACACGTACAATTAGTCAAATAGATAAAACACGCCCTGACAAGCTCGAAAACAAGTTTACAAATTGCAATCTAGCTGGGCAGTTTCTGATGGAAACGAGAAAATAGATTGAACTTCCTTCAGAGCTGCGAGAGCCTGGCCGTTCCACCCACATTCTCCAACTTTTCTTTCTCCCTCTCACACAATTCTTCATCCATTCCTCAATCTCACAGCTTTCTCGTCACCTCCAGCAGTTAGCGTTCTAGCGTTCCAGCCAAGGCCATCCCATAGTTGGGTTAAGTCATCGTTTCTCTCTCAGCTTGTCGTCAACCTCCTAGCTGGATAGTCATGCTAGCTTTTCCCTCCTTTCTTTCCCTAGGCCTCTCTCTTCTTATATTCCTTGCTGTTTTCCTCCAACAAATAAGCATCCTCTCACTTTTTCCATATCTCTTATGTCTCTGGGTGCTCTAGCTTGTTAAGGAACCACGGGTAATCACCTTTCAACTTTATTTCAAGGTACGGATTCTACCCTCCCGCCATGCCCTTCTCCTCTGCTCTCGTCCATACCTTGTCTCAATTCTTCCTTTCTCCCACCATTACGGGAAATCGTTCCTTACGTCGCACTTCCTAATTCTCCATGTTTTCTTTGTTCATTGTCGTTCTCTTCATTTTTACGTCCTCTTATCCAGGTTTCACATGTCTCTTATTCTGCTAACCCTTGTGATCTGGCTGCAGGTTCAAAACTTTGAACCACTCTTATTATGCATCTGCTATCTTTTTATTGCATAATGCATACTTTATTGTTTTGAATTGTTTTGGCCTTTGCTAGGTGCATCAGTCCTGTTGTGTGTTGTGCATGGGCACTCGTAGTAATACGTTTTGTGTGTCTCAAAATCTGGATTGCTTTTATCGTTTCGTGAAGATCCTTTGACTCTCTCGGTGAGTGCGGTCAATTGACGTGGAATCGATATAGTAAATCAGGTTTTAGTATTCACAAAATTGCTTGTAAAAAAAAATTGCTTGTTGATGATTTTCTTGCTATCATATAATGTATTATCTCACGGTCGACATAATAGGCTTTCGACTTCCCCCACTTAGCTGGGGAAGCGATAGCCTATTTTTGTCAATGACAAAAATACACCACTGGAAATCATGGGAAACAACGACAAACATTTTAGATTCAAATCAATTAGGGAAAATTATTTTTTTTGGGAAATTCTTTTTTTTTAAAGATTTGGTAGTTTTTTCCAAATCACAAACTTGAAAAAAAACTCCTTAGGATCGATCGCAATAGGTTGCTCCGCAACCCAAAAAAATTGCAAGAATCCCTCTTGTTTTTCGTGACCCAGATCGTGGCGGGCAAGTTTGGAGATTTGCCAGCTCAGACGCGTCAGTTACATCACGCAATTTCGCCCATAAACCTGACCAACTTCTCGCACTACCCAACCTGGCGAGTCAACGCGCGGAGTACAGAAAGCTCGCAGCGGATTCCTGATTCCGTCTTCCGTATTCTGGAATCACAGCTTACCGATCACGGCCTATCTTGTCGCTCCTCTCATCCGCCCTGCCACCACCACAACCCTGCGCCCCAATCTTTGCGCCACACCCGCGGCCATGGCCCTTCCGCCTGATAGTGCCGTCCCGCCAATCCCGTTGCCGCGCGACGGCGCGAGCGCCGACGGCCTGCTGGACGTGTTGGGAGCGGAGGTCACCGTCGCCCTCCTCGCGTGCCTCGACGCCCCCAGCCTTGCCCGTTGCACCGCCGTGTCGCGGTCATGGCGCCGCCTCGCCTCGGACGACACCCTCTGGCTGCCGCTGTGCAGCTGCCTGTGGCGCTGCAAGGCCTTCGTGCCGCGGCGCTTCAAGGCCCTCCTGGAGTCACCACCTCGGCGGGCTGCTTCTCGCCACGACGCCACGGTCGCTCGCGTTCTCTCGCCGTCGCGGACCGCAGCGGTCCGTCCCTGCGCTGGCGATGGAGCGGGAGGTCGCCGCGTCGATGAAGACGCGGACGCGGATACGAATTGCGAAACCATGCTCTTCGTAAGACGAGGCGCATATCCAGCGACCGAACGTGCAACGGACGCGGATTCCGATATTGACGCTCAAGTCCCGGAGCCATTCTCATGGGCGGCTATGTATCGGCAATCCCTGAGCGAGGGGGCGAGGGAGGGCATTCTAGCGGAGGAGCTGTGCAGCGTGACGTGGAGCTTCCGATTCAAGCACATGGACCTGCCGTGGATTAGGAACCACCCGTTCTGGTTGAACCTGCCGCCGCTGCTGCGGCGCTTCCACGCGGACGGCAGCGTGGCGTCGGGCACGCACAACGACCCCATCTTCGGGTCGCACGAAAACATCTGGCGCTTCGTGCCGCGCTCCCCGGCTCCACGGCCCGCTGCTGCTCCCGCTGCTCCCACCGCTGCTGCTGCTGCTGCTGCTGCTGCTGGTGACGGTGCGCGGAGCGGTGCTGGCGGGCAAGGCAGTAGTGAGGGCGCGAGGAGTAATGTGGAGGGAGGTTGGGAAGAGGCAAGGGCAGGTCCAGGTGAAAGAGAGGACGGAGGGGTCCTGAGAGAGAGGGGGGCTTCCAGCACATGTGCCACTGGGACACCTACCTCACTGCATGCTGCCATGGCTCCTGCTCCTGCCGCTGCTGCTGCTGCTGCTGCTGCTGCTACCACCCCTGTGCCGTCACTGCGGGTGCGCATCAACCACTGGCCGGCCCTGACTGTGGTGCGCAGGGCGGACTGGGGATGGGACATGGCCAACGAGTACGTCATCTACTGCAGCCTCCCCCCCCCCTCGCCCTAATGCACTCCTCCAATGCCCGTTTCCCGCACCCCCCTGCTGGACATGCCATGCCACCTCCTCTGCTGTCCCTCACATGTTAGTGTCTGCCATCCCTCTTTCTCTGCCATGCAGGCAGTTTAGGTATGCTGCTTGCTGTGAGGGCAATGCCTCCCCACAGATTTCAGTACATGAGTGCTTGTTACACCTCGAGCTTTCTGTTTCATGCAATGAAGGATCATAGCTGACAAACTAGCTTGCAAGCACACTGGTTCTAGTGTTTTTCAGCACTACTGTTGCTGCTCTAGCACAGCAAGACTGCAACGGAGGCCCACATTCATGCACTCTGGGGAGAATCTCGTGGGTACATCCCCAGGTTCAGACCAACTTTCAACGGCAACTGTCACCTGCCAATAACGTTAATAAACCAACAAAAACCCCAAAATAGTGACTTGGTTGCACGTGTTGCAGAATGCGTGTCCCATCACTGTTTGAGGTACTTGAGCGCCACCTGGCGGCGCTTGAGCTCCTCGTGCGGCACGCCCAGGTCGCCCGCCAGCATGAACGCTGACGACCCCTTGTAGCGCGCCTCAAACACGCGCAGCCGCGTGCCACTGCCCGTGCGCGACGTGGAGGCGAGGAAGTGGTCGGGGCGCGTGACGGGGCCGTGCCTGAGCTGCGCGAGGATGACGGCCAGCAGGAACTGCAGGCGGATCTCCGCCCGCTTCGTCTCGTCCAGCCCGTCATCCGTGTCGGGCAAGGACTGGGGTGTTCGTGGGGGGGCCGAAAGAGAGCGAGCAGATGGGGGGGGCGGAGAAAACGGGGGGAAAGGGGGGGGGGGGAGTGACAGATGGGGTAATGGGAGAGGGAAAAAACGGGGGAACAAAATGAGAGGAGCAGGGAAGCGGTATGGTTACCGGTGCAATGAGGTTGGGGAATGAGGCGAGGAGGCCGGAGCGGAACATGGCGGCGAGGGGCACGTAGTCGACGTTGAGCGCCATGGCGACGCCCACGGTGCGCATGAGCAGCATGTACTCGTGCACGCGCTCGCTGCTTGGCGTGTTGCGCCGGAACTCGCGAATGGCGTCGCGACACGTGTCGTCGATGTTGCAGAGGAAGACCTCGTGTTCCTGCGTGGCGCGGTCCGAATCGTCGCCTGCCTCCGACAGCAGTGTGCAGTCGAACAGCAGCACCAGCAGCGCCTCGTACGCCCCCAGCGACCCTGCTGCCTCCGCTGTCGTTGTGCACCCCAGACCTGCATGCACGGGGAGAGAGAGAGCAGGACATGTGGAGGACAGGTGCCATGATTGCAATGGGAGAAAGGGAGCAGAGAGAAGTGGAGGATAGCCGTTGGAAGTGAGGTGCCGAGGATGTTGTACGCGTGGGTGATATCAACCCATGAGTCCCTCAGCACCACGCCCCTCAGCAGTCCGCCCCCTGCACTCACCGCTGGCCCTTTCGCACTCCTCATCGGACGGGGCCCTGGCCAGCGTCTGCATGAGCGACACGCCCGCTGCAGCGCGGCTGCCAGCAAGCGTGTTCCAGATGCGGCACACCATGCCACCCTTGAGTGCCACGGTGGACAGCGTGGACACGTGTTCGTGCGTGAAGAACAGCAGGTCGTTGGCGTCCGCATCGTACCCGCGCACCGTCGGGGGCGGCCCGCACGACGGCCCCATGGGCATGTCGCCAGCACCACCAGGCGCTGCAGCGGGGGCGGCGAGGGGGTCGCTGAGCCCCACGGCGTGGCCCCACTGGCGGCAGAGCTCCATGGAGCGGTGTGCGCCGAGGATGTCGGTGTGCGTGGCGTCGGGGAAGCGCACGAGCATCTCCTTGAGCAGCTCCACCGCCTCCTCCACCTCCTCACGCTCCACCACCTCGTCAATCGGGTCCGCCACTGCCTCCTCCTCCACCTCCACCTCCCCATTCCACGACTCCGCGTACTCCCCCCCGCCCTCCGCCCACTCCTCTGCCTCGCCGCCGTACCCCCCCCCGCCACCTGCCTTGGGCTTGCTTCGCTTGCCCACACGCCCCATGATGCGGTGGCGCATGCCGGTGCTGGCGTCGTCGTCGTCGGGCGCGTCGGGGTCGTCCAGATCGTCCACGCTGGACGCCGCCATGGACTCGCCCGCCAGCAGCAGCTTGCGCGCGCGCAGCATGCTGCTGCCCTTGTGCACTGGCTTCTTCCCCGCCCGCCGCCCCAGAGGCCCACTGTTGCCGCCACCACCACCTCCTTCCCTCTCCCCCGCTCCCCCACCTCGCCCTCCCCTCCCCCTGGGCGGCCACCGCTCTCGGACCCGCCGTGGCGCCAGTCGCTGCCACTGCCGCTGGTGGAGCCCCTGGGGCTGGCGGGACTGTTGCCGTCCACCACCGACGACGCGTCCTCCTCCCCACACCCCCTCACACTGCCCCCGCCCATACTGCCCCTCACATCGCCCCCATCACTCTCACTCCTCTCCACGCCCCCTCCACTCCCACCCTTCTCCCACTCATCACGCCCCGACCCCGACCCTCCCCCTCCCCTTCCACCTCCCCTCTCCCCATCACCCCCCCCTCGCCCTCGCCCTCCCCTACTGTTGTGCGACCCCCGCAACGACTCCGTGTCGCCCTCTGCACTCCCCTCGTCATTCGCCCACTCGCCCTCCTCCTTCCGCCTCGCCTCCCCCACCCTGCTGCCCCGCACATCCCCCCACCGCCCCTCGCGCCTGCGGCGGCCACGGCGGGCCTCTCTGCCGCCCTGGCCGGCCTCCATCTTCTTGCCCTCCTCCAGCAGGCGGATGCCCAGCTGCCGCGCGGACGAGGGGCGCCCGATCTTGAGCAGCGAGCGGTGCAGGTGCTGCACCACGATGGCGGACGGCGAGATCAGCAGCTGCAGCTTCGCCACCCACTGCGCCACCGCGAACGACCCCACCTCCGCTGCTGCCGGCACGCGCGGGCGCGTGAGGGGGTAGCCGCGCGCCGTGGAGAGCTTGCAGATGTGCGCCAGGGAGCGCCCCAGGATCCACGCGTCGTCCACTCGGTTCGCCAGCGCTAGCCACTGCTCCAGGCCACGCTGCAGGGACGGACGACGGGCGGGGAGAGGGGGGGGGGAGAAGGGAGAGGGTGAGCATGGAGAGAATGACGAGTGCTTTTTCAATACGCACATGGATGTGAGTGGACGCGCATGAGTGTGAAGCGCGGGGCCGGCACACGGCTCATTCCACACCAGTGTGGGCATGCATGCGCACCTCGATCCACGTCTCCTCCCGGGCCAGCTGCAGCCACTGGTCGTCCAGCTCTGCGCCCTCGTCGTCGCCCCCCTCGCCCTCGTCCTCGCCCTTGCGCCGCCTGGGCCGCCTCTTGCGGGTGCCCATCTGCCCCTTCATGAGTGCAGCAGCCAGCTGCTGCAGGTCCTCCTTGCACACCTGCGCGCACAGCCGCGCCAGGAACAGCCCCTTGGCCACCGCGCCCGTGTCGTGGCACCACACGTGGAACAGCGGGTACCGCCCGCCCGGAGGCGCCTTCTCCAGCTTCTCCTTCGACTCCGCCTTGCCCCCCATCCCCTCCCCTGCCGCACCCTCCCCGCCCTGCACCGCCACCTGCACCTGCTGCCCTGCACTCCCCCCTCCCCCCGCACGCCCTCCAGCACCCGCCCCTCCATCTGTCCCTGCAGCAACAGCAGGGCGGCCGTGCACGGCGGCGGCAGCGGTGGCAGCGGGGGTGAAGTGCCAGCCGCCTGGCAGGGCGAGGCGGGCCTCGAGGTGGGGCATGCGGGCGCTGATGCGGTGCAGCACGTCCATGAGCATGTCCAGGTCCACCGCCAGCAGCTCGTCCACCTTCACACTGCGGAACCACAGCAAGAACAGGCACTGCCAGTCCTCCCACGACAGCCGCACCACGTCCATGATCTCAAACAGCCGCCGGATGCCCGCCTCGCCCTGCAGGATGCCGCCCATCACGAACTGCGCCAGCGCGCGCACGTCCCCGGGCTCGCTGCCCCGCGCCAGCCACATGCCAAAGCCCTGGTCGTCGCCCGTCGCGCCGTCGCTGCCCCACCCGAACAGGTCGCCCTTCTTGCTGCGCTGCTTCTCCCCCTGCGCCACGCCCGCCTCACGCCCCTTGCTGCTGCCTGCCCTCTGGCGGGCCTCCCTGGTGTCGCGGGGGTCCCAGGAGGGGTCGAAGGCGAAAGCGCGCAGGAAGTCAGTGGACGTCATGGGGGGGGGCGGGCTCTCACCCGCCTCATCCCCCTCATCCGCACCGCTCGCCGGGGGCGCGTTCACTGTGTCGTCGCCTGCCCCTTTGCCCCCCGCTGCTCCCGCACCCCCCTTGCCCTTGCTCTCCATCCACAGGTAGTTGCATTCGCTCTCCGACTCGCACAGGGAGATCCACGCGCCCAGGTCCGCCACCAGCGCCTGGTACCGCGCCTTGCGCTCCTCCGACTCCGCCAGCAGTGCCGCCTCCTCCGCCTCACTCACCTTGCCCGCCTTGCCCTTCGCCTGCCGCCACCGCCGCCACCGCCGCTCCCACCCCATGCCCCCTGCCCTCTCCGGCTCTGCCTCCATGTCCGACCCCTCGCCCTCGCGCCCCCCTCCCTTGCCCCCCTTGCCCGCGTCGTCCTGGTCGGGGGCGTCGGGGTCGCGCTTGAGCTTGATGAACACCTTGAGCAGCAGGCGCTGCCAGCGCAGCAGCCCGCACCGCTGCTCCAGGTACTGCAGCAGCTTCTCGTCCACACGCCGGATCTTCCTGCCGCCCGCCCCCACCCCCGCCAGCACCCCCGCTGCTGCTGCCTCCTCCCTGCCGCGCCCTGGGGAACCCTCCCTGCCCCCACGCTCAACCTCCCGACGCCCCTCACCCCTTCTCGTACCCCTCTCGTAATCCCCCTCCCTTTCCCTCACGCTGCCCCTGTCTCTGTCTCTCTCCCTGTCCCTTTCCCGATCCCTAAACCTATCTCTATCCCTATTCCTGTAGCCATCCCTATCCCTATCTCTGTCCCTGTCTCTATCCCTGTCTCTTTCTCTGTCTCTGTCTCTCTCCCTGTCTCTGAATCTTTCCCTATCCCTGTCCCTCTCTCTATCCCTCTCCCTGTCCCGATCTCTGTCCCTATCCCCCTCTCTGTCCCTCTCCCTATCCCTATCTCTGTCCCTGACCCTCTCTCTATCCCTCTCCCAGTCCCTCTCCCTCTCCCTCAGCCTCTCTCTCTCCCTCTCTCTCTCCCTCTCCCTCTCCAGCGCCACGCCCTCAACCCCAGCCGTGCTGCCCGCCTCGCCACGCTGCCCCAGCCGGTTCCACATGGCCAGCCCCCCAGACAGCAGGCTCGATGCACCCTCCAGCGCCGCTCTCCCCAGCCCGCCCTCCGCCCCTGCTGCCCCCACCCCCTCCCCCCCCTGCTGCGCCGCCTGCTGCTGGAGCCTGAGTGCTTGCTGCCTCTCAGTGGCAATGACGTGGCGGTTGTAGGCGACGCACTCCTCCACGCACGCCAGCACGTCCTCCATCACCGCCAGGTGGCACTTCTCCGGCAGCGCGGGGCGCGTAGCGATGAGCAGGTCCAGCACCTGCAGCTTGCGCACGGGGGACGTGAGCGCGGCGCTGAGCTTCAGCAGCAGCAACTGCTCCTCCTCGTCATCCGCGTCCTTCTTGCCCTCCCACCCAAACGAGCTGCGCATGCGCAGAGACAACCGCCCCTGGAGCTCTTCGTCCTCCTCGTCTGCCTCCTCACCATCCTCCTCCTCTTCCCCTTCCTCCCCTTCCTCGTCCTCGACCTCGTCCTCCCCATCCTCGGTCTTTTTCTCCTTTAACCGGCTACTCTTCCCCTCGCTCTTTCTACCCGTCCCTGTCTCCCTCCTCTCCTCCCCCTCTCCCTCCTCTGCATCATCCCCTTCCAGACTCGCCTTACTCCTCCACCTCGCCATGGTCTTCACCTCCCTCCTCCCCTCCTCCCCTTCCTCCTCCTCGTCCTCCTCCTCCTCGCTCACCTCACTCAGTCCGCCCTTCTTCCCTCGTTTCTTCTTCGCCCCTTTCTTCGTGCCACTGACAGCGGCGGCGGCGGCAGCCTTGTGCTGCAGGTGGGTGAAGGCGGCGATGGCGGCGGCGCGCGAGTTGCGCTTGAGCTTGAGCAGGTCGCACAGGCGCTGGAAGATGTCACTCTCCGTCAGCGCACCCCCCGGCCGACTGCCCGCCTCCAATGGGGATGTGTGGCTGCCACGGCGGAGAGGGGGGGCAGGGATGTGGGTATGGGAGGTGTGGGTGGCGTGCATGCATGTGCCAATCACTGCGTGCGCTGCACGAAAGCACAGCATGAGTGCTGGGTGGGGAAAGGGAATGCATGTGATCATCCATCCCAGCAATGCACGCATGGCACACAGTGCAAGCAAGTCTACCAGGGAACTGCCATGCAGTGCGCCACATCCCGGCCTCCTCATCCCCCCCCTTCACCACCAATCACCTCCCCCCCCACTGACTTGTCCTCGTGGATGACTCACCTGCCCGTGAGTGGCACGGTGGGCACAATCTCCGACACCTGCCCGGTGCTGCCGTGCAGGATGAACGCACGGTGCCGCTGCCCATAAACGCCGTCGCCCGCCGCGTGCGTGCCTGCGCTGGCAGCGCTGGCAGTGTGCGAGGACCCGTGCAGGAGGGAGGAGACGCCCTTGGCGATGTCCAGAGAATGGCCTGACGCGGCCGGTGCGTGCGCGTCAGGCGGGGCCGTGGTGTGGGGCGCGCCGATCACTGCTGCTGGCTGCAGCAGACGGCTGTTGCTGGCGCAGCGGAAGAGAGCAATGCGCGGCCCACCCACCATTTGCCACACCTGTTGGGGAGGGAAGGCAGAGGCAGGGATTTGGTATGGAATAAAGAGGCGAGCGAACATTGAAGGGGAGTAGAGAGAGTAATGGGTGGTGCGTGCACGGGCGTGACAATGGAGTGAACAAGAAAGGCAGAGAGCAGGGTCGGGACAGGCGAGGGGGAAGAGGGGGAAGGAGGGGAAGAGGGGGAAGAGGGGGAAGAGGGGGAAGAGGGGGAAGAGGGGGAAGAGGGGGAAGAGGGGAAGAGGGGGAAGAGGGGGAAGAGGGGGAAGAGGGGGAAGAGGGGGAAGAGGGGGAAGAGGGGGAAGAGGGGGAAGAGGGGGAAGAGGGGGAAGAGGGGGAAGAGGGGGAAGAGGGGGAAGAGGGGGAAGAGGGGAAGAGGGGGAAGAGGGGGAAGAGGGGGAAGAGGGGGAAGAGGGGGAAGAGGGGGAAGAGGGGGAAGAGGGGGAAGAGGGGGAAGAGGGGGAAGAGGGGGAAGAGGGGGAAGAGGGGGTGCAGTGCAGGGGATACCTCAACGACTTCTCTGCGCGGGGCAAAGATGGCGAGGCACATGGAGAGGTTGCGCGGCTTGAGCACGAGCTGCAGGTGCACGTTGGGCGACGCGCCCCCCATGGACGTCATGCCCGCGCTCACGATCGGCACCTCCAGAAACGCCAGCTCCGCCTCGCGGTACCCCTGCCACCAGGCCACGCGCAGGGGGGCGGATAACGGGGCGGACACACATTGGGGCGCCGGCATTTGGCAGAAAATCCATCTGCACAACGGGAGGAAGGTGGCAAGAGGAGTGAGAGTAGAGACAAGGGGGAGCATGAGGGGAGTCGGGCGCGGGCGGACCTTCCACATGCGCACGACGGCGAATATCTGGGAGTCGAGCACCATGACGCGCCCCAGGTTGTCGGCAATGGCCATGAGCGTGCCCCTGGGCGCGACAGCGAGGCGCGTGGCGTGGCGCGAATGGTCTTTGAGCGCCGCCACCACGCCCATGCTGCTGCCCACCTCCAGCGCCACCCCCGGCACCACCCGCTCCCGCCCCTCCGAATCCTCCCCGCTGCCCCCGCTGCCGCCACTGCCGCTGCTGCTGCTGCTGCCACTGCTGCCGCCGCTGCTGGACGAGGAGGAGGAGGTGGTGGAGGTGGTGGAGCGGGGGGAGGAGAAGTTGGAGGAGGTGCGTGAGATGGAGGTGCGCGCCGTGGGGGACGACGGCGTGGACGCGCTGTGCGGCTGAGACTGCTGGGGGCGAGGCTGGGCGTGGGACGAGGAGGAGGAGGAGGAGGAGGAGGAGGAGGAGGAGGAGGAGGAGGAGGATGAGGAGGAGGGGGTTTCGGGAATCCGAGAGGTGGAGCGACGGGTGCGGGAGAGGGAGCGAGAGAGAGCGGAGGCAGCGGAGGCAGCACGAGAGCGAACGTTGCTGGCCACGTTGGTGGCGAGCTGCACCCACCCACCCTGCTCTGTGGCGCTGTGGGTTGGTGAAGGCAGAGGAGAGAGGCAAAGGGAGAGGGACGATGTGAGGAGGGAAAGACGTGGAGAGAGGAAGAATGTGGCAAGGAAGCAGCGTATGCGGCCACAACTGACGCTAGGAAGAGAGAGCGCCAAGCAGAGACATGCACGCGGCAGGGAAGAATAGTATGAGGTGAGGCTGTGATGCCTCAACAACATGCAGTGGCGTCACAACATGCTGTGGCGATGCCATGGTGTGAAGTGCATCAGTAGCGGCAGCGGCAGAGGCGCTACGCAGCGGCAAGCACTCACGCGAAGGCAGCAAGAGTGGGGTCAAGGCCCACCGCCACGATGCAGTAGGACTGCTTGGGGGACTGCGCACGCCACATGCAGGGGGGTGAGTTGTGCATACACCAAGACAGGGGGAGAGAGCGAGTGAGACGAGGTGGAGCAGTGGGAAGAATGCATGTGAATGGATGGCGGCGATGGATGGAAGGGCAGTGGCAGCGAGGGGCCAGCAGGTGGAGGCGGGCACCTGCACTTGGAAGAGCGGCGAGGGGAAGGTGCCAGCAACAGCGCCGTCGCTCCACTTCGTGGTGGCGCGGCCCGTGCGCCACTTCTTGAACGCGAGTCCCGACGAGGTGCCCCCATCGTCGTCGCGGCCGCCCTTGCGGCCCGCGCCCATGAAGCTGAGTGCCGATGCGATGCCGCGCGACACATTGGCCGCCACCGAGTCCTCCAGCTGGATCACCCGCTGCCGCACAACGCTCTGATGGGGGGCGGCACGCACGGGTTCCCAATGGGTGCATGGAGAGCTGAGGGAAGAGCGTGATGGGTGGAGAGTTGAGGGCTGTGAAAGGTGCGGCAGTATGGTCACGGATACGAGGAGGTGGAGGCGGCAAAAGGCAACGTCAGTCACGTCTGGCATTCAAATTAGCTCGTGACATGGTGCATGGGTGCGGGGAAGGTGGCATGGGAGCAGCACATGTGTGGCGTGGTGGGACCTGCAGCTGGATGGAGTTGATGACGCATGTGGCATTCCGCGTGATGGCGCATAGCTCCTGCGACCCATCATTGCGCACCATGCCCGCCTCCATGCCGCGCACCCTCAGCCGCACCACTGCCTCCGTGTGCACCATCTGCCCGCCCACACGCACACGCACGTGCACCACACCGTGCCACGCACAACAACCCCAACACACACGTGGGCGGGTGAAGGAACGAGGCGAAGGAAAACAAGGTTAGAGGCACGGGGATGGCAAGGGAAGGGCGAGCATCATTGGTGCACTGTACCGCATGTGCGTGCTCGGACAGCGAGCGATGGAGGTAGAGGCGGTGTGGGCGAATGGCGCACCTGCTTGGCGAGCAGCACGCCGGTCTCGGAGTACACGAGCACGAACCCCACTGCCGTGCCCACCGCCAGACACATGAAGGAACCGGGCGGGCGGGAGGGCGAGGCGAGGGCGGCGGTGGTGCGGTGGTTGAAGGCAGAGAAGGTGAGCCACTCCAGCGCCGTTATGGCGTCGTCGCTGTCACACGCCGGCCGCACCCCCACTGGCTCCACTGGCCTGCTGCCGGCGCACCATGGACCATGCGCACATGCAGAGTGAGAGAGAGTGCGAGCGATTGTGAGTGCACGTGCTTCGAGCGAGACATTGTTGATGAGAAAGCAGAGGAAGAGAAGCCAAACAACTGACGGCAAGGAAGCCACATAGCGAGGACAACTGGCGAGCAGCTAGCAAGGGCATGCAGCAGCAACGGGCACAGGCGCATGGAGAGCAGTGGGCCACGCACCTGCCATCTTGCGCGCCATGTCCGTCCGCAATGACCAGCGTTCTCCCCAGCGCCACTGCGATCAGCTCGCCGTTCTCCGTCGCTGCCACGCGCACGTCCTCGCTCTCCAGCCAGCTCCCCATGCTCAACCGCTCCCCCAGCCCCTCACCACCCCCCCCGCCTGCACCACCACTATCCCCGCCATGTCCCCCCTCCGCGCTGCTCCTGGCAGCAGCCTCCGCCCCCTCGCCCGCCAGCCCGCCTTCCGCGAGTGTGGCGGCGCTGGCGGGTGCGCCAGAGGCGGAAGTGGTCTTGGGGAGCCAGAAGGGGAGCATGGCGTTGGGATCGGCGGAAGGGTGCGCGGGCCCATTGAGATGGCGCACGATGGCGTCCGCGGATACGCTGCCCCATGGGCGCACCACCGTGGGGCGCGCTGAGAACAGAAGGGCGCGCGGGAAACACGGGGGAGGAGTAAGCGAGGGGAAAAGGGAGAAGCGCAACGAAAGGAAGTGTGACAAGTGAGATTAGGGAGGATGGTGTAATATTGAGGAAGCAAAATGGGGAGAGACGACGGGAGACCCCACGCAGGAGAGGAGGGAAGGAGGGAAGAGATGAAAGGGAGGACTCATGCAGCACGCGGAAGGACAGCCGCGGACGGGAGGCGATGGGGAAATCGGAGGTCGAGGTAGGCAATGCACAAGTAAGAGAGCAGCAGGAAACTAGGGTTAGGCCCAAGCACGGCAGCGGTGTGCAGGAATGGCAGTCGACCAGGACTCGCAACAATGTTGGCACGGAGGTGGCCTCGGCGCACTTGACATGCTGATGCTGGCGAACTTAAAGACGAACGATTCGACAGAATAAGCGTTGATTCCCCTTCTTACGCTTCCATGCCACCATCCGACTATCAGGCGTGACAGCCAGGCCCGCATGAGAACCCTATCAGCTACCCGCACTTCATGAAAAGCGCTGAAAGCTTTTCAGATGGACGAAAGAACCCGCATCAGAACCCTACCCGCTACCCAGCATCTTAGACGTGGCAAGACCAGCATCGCTGCAAGAGTTTTTTAAAATCCCGCGCAACCAGGATAGAAACAAGAGATTCTAGAAAGCAAGTGCTTTCTTAAAATGACAACAAGCGAGACAACCTTGACTGATCAAAACGAGGGGGAGAGAGAAGAGACAGTGAGAGAGAAAGTGGGTAAGTGAGAAAGTGAGGGCCCCGGGATGAGCATTTTCTGCAGACGCACCTCGCCTCGTGGCGGTCGACATTTGAGCGACTAGCTATCAGGTTGGGAGAACTAGAGGAGTCCAACCTGCGCGTCATGCATCGCTCCTCCACCAAGATAGTAGACTTCACCTACATTGAACGCCCCTAATTTGAGACCTGCTGCGGGATAAAATGCCCCCCACAAACGAAACCATGTGCCGCGGTCTAGGGTGCTATGCGGACATGCTAGCGAGCAGACCGCGATCAAGCATGGACGTTGAGTCAATGACCTAATTGAGGTGCGTAGCAGAGACAAGGCAGTGGCCAGGAGAACGACTCTGGTCTGGTGGGGTGGTACGGCACTCACTTCCGCATCTGCCCTGGCCCTGGTCTGGCTGCCCGTGGCATCGTGGTCAGGACGAAGCTGGCAAGGAGGCCCGTTAGGAGCCCAGCTCGGCAGGGTGGCCCAGTGTGGCCAAATTAAATTTGGTTTGGCAAGGCCGAACCAAGAATGCTGGAAAACACCTGCCCAGCAGCACGATCGAGCCCGTAGTCGTAGCTGAAGGTGTGATCACGTTACAGCATATAGGTGGATTTGCAGGTGTATCCGTCGTTCCACACACAAGATGTAAACCATGGCATGCACAAACGAGAAATCCTAAACTAGCAGTATTTTTATGTTGTTGTTTCTCTCAATATTTGAATACAACTTGCAGTCTAAAGTCTTTTACCTGAATCATTTCACGCCAAATGTTTAGTCCAATAGTTGAAAGAACACTTTTTGGCTTAAGCGTGTACGCTCTATAACGCATCTTACTTCGCTCGTGTGGACTGACAAGAGTGTGGCTGTGTCGGCGGTGGCAAGTAAGGGCAGTGGTGGTGGTAATTTTACGCGCGCCTTTCCCGATTCGCGCCAAACCAAACGCGGATGTGCCGGGGAGGGGATTGGCCTAGGATCACGGAAGGTCAGCATTTTGCTGTTCGAAACAACCTGCTGGGCGCAAGCAGAGGGGAGGGGGAGCCAAAGCGAATGTTGAAGTGCGTCCATTTTGGTGTCAAGTTCAAGCACCGACAACATGTTATTCGCCGACAATCAACGGCGCTGAATCGATATTTATCTACCGTTTGTGCATTCGTAGATGCCAGGAGATAGCTTCACCGCAACAACAAGGCGCTGTTGGGCACTTCAGTTTAGTAGTTTACATGTCCACATCGGCCATCGGCTGGTGCAAATGCCCATTGAATCTGTTACGCCCAGCCGAAGCTATGGTTCCCCTTGTGAGAAAAGGAGCAAGTGACGAATCATTGAGTAGTGTGCCTCGGCATCTCCGCCTAATCGTTACTGTCTTGCTACTGCTGTTCCCCGCACACACACCCGCACTTCACGCTAGCAATCGCGTCGGTGTAGCCGTAGACTCCAATGCCGTCTCACCCACCGACCCGAGCATTCCCTCTTCCGCCGCTGCGTCGTCTGATGCCACCACGGAGCCGATCGTCGGCTCTCATCGGCTGTTGGGGGATGCCGCGGGAGGGGGAGCCACGCGGGACGTAGGAATGCGCGAGCCTGAGCGCGACGGGGGGTTGCGGCGAGGGGCGGAGGCACTAGACGCCTTTCCGCCATGCCGCAGCCTCGTTCGGCAGCGTTGGTGGCTGCCCGCACTGGCTCGCGCGGACCGCCGCCATGCTCGCGCTGCCGCTACGGCCGGTCTGCTGTCGCTGCGTGCCTCCGCTGATGTGCCCCTCGTGGTCGCCATGGCGGGTGACTTCCTCGCCGGCAACCTGAGTGCGAGGAAGCGCGTGCGGAGCAGCGGCAGGGCGAGCCCCGCTATACGGAGCAGCAGAAGCATGCTCTCGTCGCTGCGCCGCCGCCCTCCGCCTCCCGCCGCTCGAGGCTCGCCCGCTGGAAGAACTCCCCCCCCGCCGGCTTCTGCGGGTAAGAAGGCGCCTTTACCCGAGATCGCGTCACGGTCCCCCGTTAGAACGACTGGCAGATCGCCGCCGTCTCAGAAGGCGCCGCCTCCAACAGCTAAGAAGGGCAAGAAGAAAAAGCCCGCCTCCCCATCGCCGCCACCGCCGCGCAAAAAGGGCAAGCGAAAAAGGCCGCCACCGCCATCACCGCCCGCCGCTCGGAGCCCCCGAAAGAAGAGGCCCCCCACTGCCCCGTCCCCTCCCCCGCCCAGAGGCTCCCGCAATCCCGCGCAAAAGCCCCCAAAGAGTCCTCCCCCTCCCCGCCCTCCTCGCCCGCCCAGTCCCCCTCCACCTTCCCCTCCTCAGCCCCCCAGACCTCCGCCTTCACCCCCATCCCCCCCCGCGCCGCCCTCTCCGCCTCCATTCGGCGTGCAGTCCCCCGACTGCCAGTACGGCTCGGACAAGTCGCTGGCGGAATGCGCCATGGGGTACGCGGGCGCGGCGGGAGTGCGCGGGGCGCAGGCGGTGGGGCTGACGCGGTACACGGTGGACAGCGAGTTCGACACGCTGGACGGATCGCAGATGGCCGTGGGGTCGCTGCGGTGGGCCGTGACGTACCTGCGCGAGGGCGCGTACATCCAGTTCGCGCGCAGCATGGACATCGTGCTGCAGGGCAACCTGTACGTGCGCTCGCGCACCACCATCGACGGGCAGGGCTTCCACGTGCGCCTGACCAACGGCACGCTCGTGCTGCAGAACGCCGCGGACGTCATCGTGCACAACGTCGAAGGTGACAGGGGGGACGGGTCGCACCACGCTCTTGTTGCTCACACCTCTGCTCCACATATTCCCAAACCCTTCCTGTCCCCTCCCCCCCTTTTCAACCCTCCCCCCCTCCTCTCTCTCTCTCTCTCTCTCTCTCTCTCTGGCGCGTTCGTGTATGGTATCCAGTGAGCGGGACTTCCAGCGACCTGATTCTGGTGTACAACAGCAGCAGGGTGTGGGTGGACCACTGCCGCTTGGTGAGCGGGCGCACGGGCACGGTGGACGTGGGCAAGGGCAGCACGGACGTCACCATCTCCAACTGCTACATCAGCAACGCCGCGCCCGCCATGCAGGTGAGCTCGCACCACCACCGCTCCCCACTTACGTCCCCACCCACTTCCCCAATTCCCCACTTACATCCCCACTTCCCAAACTCCCCACCTACTTCCCCCACTTCCCCACTTCCCCACTTGCTTCCCTTCTTCCCCAATTACTTCTCCACATACTTCCCCCCTTTCCCACTTACTTCCCCACTTAATTCCTCACTTCTCAACTTACCTCAGTTCCCCACTCCCCCACTTACTTCCCTTGTTCCCCAACTACTTCCCCACTTTTCCACATCCTCACCTCCCCACTTCCCCTCGTCCACACTTACTCCCCCAATACCCCACTTATTTCTCCACTTACTTCCCAACTTCCCCAATTACTTCTCCACTTCCCCACTTTCTTTCCCAATTCCCTACTGATTTTCCCACTTCCCCGCTTCCCCACTTACTTCCCTGCTTGCTTACCCGATTCCCCACTTACTTCCCCACTTCCCCCTTGGTGCGCAGTTGGGGCTGTCGGACGGCGAGGAGGCGGATCGCATGATGCGCGTCACGCTGTACCGCAACTGGTTTGACGCCTCCCCCACCATGCAGCCGCTGTGCCGCAAGGGCTCCTGCCATGTCGCTGCCAACCTCTACACGCGCTGGTCCTCCTTCTGCATCGCCGCTCGCAAGGGCGCCGTCGTGCGCTCTGAGAAAAACTTTTTCCGCCCAGACCCGGTAGGTGGGCGGTTGGAAGTGACCCCGTGGTACGGCGGCATGCTGCCGACGGACAGCAACTACGACAAGACAGCCAGCATCCGGTCGGTGGAGGACTACCTGGTGGGGGGCGCCACGTTCCATGAGTGGGTGGGGTCCAACCCGCTCTTCACGCCGCCCTACAGCCTGGGCTTCTTCCGCAACACGCGCCTGCTGGAGGCCTTCCTCATGCTCAACTGCGGCCCCAAGTACGACACCCTCGTCGCACTGCCCCCTGCCCCGCCCCCACCCTCCCCGCCACCATCGCCCCCTCCTCCTCCCCCCTTCCCCCCACCCCCACCCTACGTCCCGCCCCCACCAATCCCTCCACCGCCCCCTCCGCCTTCCCCCCCGCCAGCACCCCCGCCATCCTCGTCCGACTGTCAGTACACCGCTGCGGCGTACGGCGCGGGCATGCTGGCGTGCGCAGTGGGGTTTGCGGCGGGGCAGGCGGGGCAGGCAGGGCTGGCGGGCATAGTGGCGGTGCCGGAGTACGTGGTGACGCTGGACGAGGACGTGGCCAGCAGCAGCCGCCAGGGGTCGCTGCGCTGGGCCATCGGCAATTTCAAGGGCGGCGTGCGCATCTCGTTTGCGCGCTCCATGACCATCCGGCTGGCCGCGGTGCTGTATGTGAAGTCCAACACCATGATCGACGGCAGGGGCGTCAACGTGAAGCTGACGGGGGACGGCATTGTGGTCGTGCACTCGTCGCAGGTCGTCATCCATAATGTTGAACGTGAGTGCTGCACGGAAAGGCCGTTGAGCCATCTACGGTGCGTGTCAGCCATACCATGGGACAGCTTGCTGACATTATGATTACATTGTGACACGTCATTGCCTGCATCCATTGTCATTCCTTGCGTCCAATGTTCTGTTCATTGTCTTATACTAGACAGTGATCGGTCCTGGTAAGATGCACCGTGAGTGATGTGCTGTGCCAGCATGCACCTCTCATGCTCCCTCACCCCTCTCCTCCCTTGTCCCACCCCCTCGTTCTCCCCCAGTGGCATGTGGGTCGGCGTCCAGCAGTGCGCACGTGGTGCTGTACAACAGCACGGCCGTGTGGATCGACCACTGCCGCTTCTCCAACATCTCCAAGGCCGCGCTCGACGTGTCGCGCCTGTCCACCGCCATCACCATCTCCAATTGCCACTTTGCGCCGGGAGCTCCCTCCGCCTCCACGTTGCTGCTGGGCAGCAGCGACAGCGACACGTCGCTCTCCTCCCTCATGGCCACGCTCTACCGCAACTGGTTCGACCGCGCCCCACCCGGCCAGCCAGTGTGCCGGCGCGGCAGCTGTCACGTGGCGAACAACCTGGTGAGCGGGTGGGCAGGGGCGGCCATGGATGCGCGCATGGGGGGCCAGGTGCTGCTGGAGAACACCCTCCTCACCTCCGGCCCTGCCTCTCAGTCCGTTGTGGCCGCTGCTGCCACCAACCCTCCTGGCACGGTGGTGTCCATGGGGAGTGTTCTCTCTGGCTCTGCGGTGTGGGGACCAGTTGCTGCTCCAGGCACCCTCTCCTTCACTCCTCCGTACTCTCTACCATCATCCCCCTTGGATGCGTCGTTTGTCCAGTTCATCAAGAGCAACGCAGGCCCACATGAGTGGTAACACAGGAACCTACCCAAGCCTCATGCTATGCATATCACACACTAAAAATATAATTTGTATATGTAACAGCATCGTAACAATTTGTAATTAATTATTTAACGCTGGTGTGCAGCTTTGCTGTTTATTGGCGAAAGTTGTTACGATGTCACAACAAGATGAACAGATATTCAGGCCTAGAACAGTGCAGCACAGTGGGTTTAGCCTGGTACTGTACCGTGTAGAGCAGATTACACGAGTTCATCACGTGCCTGGTCGCTCCTGTACAGGCATTGCTACGAGCTAGGGCATACCGTCCCGCCGTGCCATTGCCGTGTGCGGGGGGGATGGCCAGCGACGATGCGTGGACAGTCGTCTCCAAGCGTCGCGGTTCTCGCGGAAATGGCGGCAGGGGCCCGTTTTCGAGGGATGGCAACGAGGCCGGTGCGTGCAGCTCAGGAGAGCAGGCCGGGGGCCATCCGCGCGTGTGCGCGGAGGTGGCGGAACCGGGGATTGCCGCGGATGAGCGAAAGGCGGAGCTGCCGGGGTGGAATGTGCGCGGGAAGTGGGGTAACGAGGGGGAGCGCGAGTGCGCCCCGCGGAGGCGAGGCGGTAAAGGCAAGGGGCGGCGAGGCGGTGGTGCGGGCAATGGCGGGGAGAGCGAGGAGTCGATAGTGGCGGCGAGGATGGAGGACGCGAGGTGAGAGCGGAAGGGGGAGAGGGGGGGGGGAGAGGGCAGGCGAGGGCAAGTGATGGCACGGCCATGCAGCACTGCCTCACGCACCTCCACTTGCTCACGTCTTGACGTCCGCCTTCCCACTCTTCCGCCCATCGCCCCTACCTCGCCACATCCTCTTGTGCATGCATGGTGTGGGATTGCTGGCATGGCATTGTGTGGCAGGCTCATGGTGCAGCAGTCCGCGTTCTACAGCAAGCTAAGAGGTGCGTCGTGCCACCCGTGTTGTGCCCACATGGCCCCCTCACACGCCTGCCCCATCTCTGCCCACCTGCTGCCACGCCCCGCGTCAACGCCCAAGCGCCCTCGCGTCCCCTTGTGCCAATGGGTTGTCTCCGCCGTGCCCTCAGCTCCACTGTTTCAGGCATGCACCTCACGCCTATCCCTTCCCCTCGTCTCGCTCTTGTTGTTGCTGTGTGTGTCCATGTGTGCATGTTAGCACGCGCGCACGCATGTGTGTGTGCGTGTGTGTGAGTGGGCGCGGTCACATCCCTCAGACCAGATGGCGTCGCTGCAGGTAGCCCATCGTCTACTGGCCGCCCACCTCCCCCCGTCCACTCCCTCCCCCATCTCCGCCGCTGCTCCCCCTATCACCACATCCTCTCTCCCTCCCACCACTCCTCCGCCTCCCTTCCCTGCCACTGCAAGCGCACCAGCAGCAATGGGGCACGAGGGGTGTACAGCAGATGGAGAAGGAGGGGAAGGGGAGGGGCGTGTGGGAGTGCGGGGGGAGGGGGGCGGGCAGCAGGGCTTGGTGGTGGAGGTGGTGGTGTACGGCGTGGGCAGCATAGCGCACTCGCCCGTTGCCAGGTGCCAGATGGCCCTGGGGCTGCTGCTAGCACATGCTCTCAAGGTGCTGGCTCATGCTTCTCGCCATGTTTTGCCTCTCTCCTCCTGCATCACTGCTCACCACGATCACCATCCATCCCTCCTTACTGCGCCCTCCCTCCCTCCGTCCCTGCCTCCCTCCATCCCTCCCTGCCTGCCTCCCTCCCTCCCACCCTATCCACAGGAGGACCTCTCCCGGCTACCCCTGCCGCCGTGCCATGCCACGTCATCCCATCCGCTACCTCTGCTGGCCCCGCATCCCCACCACCCCTCGCATCCTCCATCCCAATCAACCCTCCCTGATTCACAAGCCGCAGCCACCGCCCCACCCGCCATGGCGCCTGCACATGCGTCCGCCCATGGCGCCTCCTCCCCTGCATGGCTGCCCGGCGCCTGCGTGCGCGTGAGCGTGTTTGACCCCGTGCTCTCGCCCCCTGAGCTCGCCGCTCTCGCCCTCCTGGGCGCCCACGGCCTCCCAGCCAACGAGGTCTCTGGGGCGAGGCCATGGAAAGAGAGGGGGGAAAGGAAACGAGGGAGGGAGAGGAGGGGGAGGGAGGGAAAGGTGCATTCATGAGTGGGAGGGAAGGGAGGGAGGGGAAGAGGGAGGGAGGGAGGGAGAGAGAGGAGGCAGTGCCAGGCGGGCATTGGTGTGCAGTGCTGCCGACCATTGCGTCCAACTGCTTTTCCGCTTCGCTTTCCTGGTCCCTCACCCTCTCGTGCTGCCCGCCCCTTTGTGTTGCTCTCTGCGCGTGCATGGTGGCAGGAGGGTTATCGCAGTGTGGCGGTGCCGACACTGTTCTACATGCCGCACTGCGAGGCGTTCCTCTACAACAACGTGCGCTGCTCTCGCCCTCCGCTCCGCCATCGCTGTCGCTATCGCCGCCACCCCCATTCCATCTTGCACACCCCTTCATTTCTTGGCGCTCCATCCTCCTCGCTTGCCTGATGCGCTGCCCGGTGTCGCCATCGCAATGCCCCCTTTCACCCCTTTCACCCCTCTCTCTTCCTCTCCTCCCTGCCATGGGCTTGCCGCTCATCTCCCTGTCAGTACCCGACATTCATGTGCGTCTACCACACTGCCATGCTCCCTGCACCCCTCCTTGCCAGGTTCTCGAGGCCAACATGAGTGCGCTCTGCAGCCCCCCCACGTGTCCCCCATCGCCTCCTCCTCCCCCCACTTCCTCTCCCCTCACTCCGCCGCTGCTCGCGCCAACTCCTGCCATGCTGCTGCCATCCGCCTCGCCACCATGGGCAGCAGCAGCAGAAGCAGGTGGTGCGTGTGGTCGGGGTCCGGCAGCACGTGCGCCTGTTGTGATTCTTGGCAACAGCTTTGCCTCGTATGAGGAGAGGTGGGCGCTGCTGGTAGGGATGCATGGGGGCCGCACAGTGCGCATGCAGGGAGGAAAAAGAGCTGGGCGTGCTGGTTGTTGCCATCAGACATCCGACGTATAAAAGCGACCCATGTGTTCACGTCAAGTGTGGTATGCATGCCATGTGTGTGATGTGTGCAACATGTGTGTTCCGTGTGTGATATCCGCACAGGTGGAGCGTGCCTGGACAGCCATCCACTTCACGGCCCAACACTCTCCTTCATGTCAGCTCTCACACCTGCCTCCTTACTCCCCCTCTCCTCCTCACGGTTTATATCATGCCATCTCACTGCACTAACGGCTTCTCAGCTCACCCCTACTGCTGACTGCAATCTTGCCCTGTTCAACACCTTTCTCATGTGTGCCACTGCCTCCCTCTGCTGCTGCCTCTTGCTCTGCTGCATGACCCCAGCGCCGCTACGCACAGCCTGCTCGCCTCAGCAATGCCTGCTTGCGTTCTCCACCCGCCTTCCACCAGTGCCTCTTCTCTCTTGTCTGCCTGTGCCGCCCCTCCCCTCTTCCCACCTTCCCCCTTCCTTTCGTTGGTACTCGTGGACTAACACATGGTGGTGTGGCTGTCCCCTGGTGTGTGTGGCAGGCGGTGCAGCAAGGGGCGGTGGAGGAGGTGGCGGTGGATGCCGCTGCGTTCCCCCTCATCTCCGCCTTCAATGACACCAGGCACGTGCGCTGCTCACATCCTTCCATGCTCAGCATCATGCCACACGTACAGCGTCATGCCACACATACAGCGTCATGCCACGCATACAGCGTCATGCCACACATACAGCGTCATGCCACGCATACAGCGTCATGCCACACATACAGCGTCATGCCACGCATACAGCGTCATGCCACACATACAGCGTCATGCCACACATACAGCGTCATGCCACACATACAGCGACATGCCACACATATAGCGACATGCCACACATACAGCGTCATGCCACATGCAGCGTCATGCCACACATACAGCGTCATGCCACACATACAGCGTCATGCCACACACACAGCGTCATGCCACACATACAGCGTCATGCCACACATACAGCGTCATGCCACACATACAGCGTCATGCCACACATACAGCGTCATGCCACACATACAGCGTCATGCCACACATACAGCGTCATGCCACACATACAGCGTCATGCCACACATACAGCGTCATGCCACACATCCAGCGTCATGCCACACATCCAGCGTCATGCCACACATACAGCGTCATGCCACACATACAGCGTCATGCCACACATACAGCGTCATGCCACACATACAGCGTCATGCCACACATACAGCGTCATGCCACACATACAGCGTCATGCCACACATACAGCGTCATGCCACACATCCAGCGTCACGCCACACATACAGCGTCATGCCACACATACAACGTCATGCCACATACAGCGTCATGCCACACATACAGCGTCATGCCACACATACAGCGTCATGCCACACATACAGCGTCATGCCACACATCCAGCGTCACGCCACACATACAGCGTCATGCCACACATACAACGTCATGCCACATACAGCGTCATGCCACACATACAGCGTCATGCCACACATACAGCGTCATGCCACACATACAGCGTCATGCCACACATACAGCGTCATGCCACACATACAGCGTCATGCCACACATACAGCGACATGCCACACATATAGCGACATGCCACACATACAGCGTCATGCCACACATACAGCGACATGCCACACATACAGCGTCATGCCACACATACAGCGCCATGCCACACATACAGCGACATGCGCCACATACAGCGTCATGGCACACATACAGCGTCATGGCACACATACAGCGTCATGCCACACATACAGCGCCATGCCACACATACAGCGTCATGCCACACATACAGCGCCATGCCACAAATACAGCGTCATGCGACACATACAGCGTCATGGCACACATACAGCGTCATGCCACACATACAGCGTCATGCCACACATACAGCGTCATGCCACACATACAGCGTCATGCCACACATACAGCGCCATGCCACACATACAGCGTCATGCCACACATACAGCGCCATGCCACACATACAGCGTCATGCCACACATACAGCATCATGCCACACATATGGCGTCGTGCCACACATACAGCGTCATGCCACACATACAGCGTCATGCCACACATACAGCATCATTCCACATACAGCATCATTCCGCATACAGCATCGTCATCCCGTGCACGCTGGTGTCACACTGAGAGCACTGCTTGTTTCAACCAGTGTTTGTACTCACTGCTTAATTATTCACCCCCCCCCCCCCCCCCCCTATTCCTCCCCTCTCCCTCATATGCGCATTCCCATTTTCAGCTGGCACTTCTTTCGTTGTAGTCATAGCAGCGACAAGATGTGACAAAGCCGAAACATTAACTAAAACAGAGGCAATACCTTTTTGCCACAAGTTTCTTTGCCACATTAACTAAATGTTCCTTGCTCGATATGTCCGACTGAGCCCTGTGACCTTGGGAAAGCTGCTTTTCAATAGGGGGTTTCTTTTACGGTATATCGTCATGTGTAGCCCAGTTGTCTCCTGTTAGCTCGAAAAAGGGGGCACTTCTTGCTGCGGCCAATATAACGACGTGACGTGAATATCTCATGCAGGGTTCTCTAAGAAAATACTTGTCTGATGGATCAGACAAGGTTTGTGCAGTTTGTATGATGCACTGTTCAAGAAAATCCTTGTCTGATTTTGCAGAGAAACCGAAAAAAAGTGTCTGATGTGTCAAGCTAGGAACTAAGGCGCCATGTAATGGCGAGGGGTTTAAGAGGTCGAGAGCTAGGAGGGGAGTTTGTCGAGAGAAAAGAGGACTAGAAAAGAAGAGAGAGGGATGCACGGAGGGGTGTTGTGCCCTCTGTCAACGTATACATGTTAGCTGTGTACAAGTTATAGGCTAGCCTGGGGTATGTTTCCAGTGAGTACAACCAGCTAGTATTTGTTCTAGGTATCCACTTCTAGTTCATTCATTCAGTTCTTACTTTAACATGGTATCACGCGTAGGTTAGGATTCCCCACCTACCGCTTCCGCCCGTACCCTAGCTCGGCCCCGCCGCTTCCCTCTGGGCCCCGTCGCGCCTCCTAGCCCCGTCGCGCCCCTCCTGGGCCCTGCCGTGCCTCCTAGCCCCGTCGCGCCCCTCCTGGGCCCCGTCGTGCCCCTCCTGGGCCCCGTCGCGCCTCCTAGCCCCGTCGTGCCCCTCCTGGGCCCCGTCGCGCCTCCTAGCCCCGTAGCGCCCCTCCTGGGCCCCGTCGCGCCCCCCTAGCCCCGTCGCGCCCCTCCTGGGCCCTGTCGCGCCCCCTAGCCCCGTCGCGCCCCTCCTGGGTCCCGTCGCGCCTCCTCGCCCCGTCACGCCCCTCCTGGGCCCTGTCGCGCCTGCCAGGTCCCGTCGCGCCCTGCCTGGCCCCGCCGCGCCCGCTTGGCCCCGTCGCGCCCTGCCTAGCCCCGCCGCGCCCGCTTGGCCCCGTCACGCCTGCCTGGCCCCGTCGCGCCTGCCTGGCCCCGCCGCGCCCTGCCTGGCCCCGCCGTGCCCGCTTGGCCCCGTCACGCCTGCCTGGCCCCGTCGCGCCTGCCTGGCCCCGCCGCGCCTTCCTGGCCCCGCCGCGCCTGCCTGGCCCCTGCCGCGCCAGCCAGGCCCCGCCGCGCCTACTAGGCCCCGCTGCGCCTCCCTGGCCCTGCCGCGCCTACCTGGCCCCGTCGCGCCGGCCTGGCCCCGCCGCGCCTCCCTGGCCCCGCCGCGCCTCCGTGACACCTGCCGCGCCTGCCTGGCCCCGCCGTGCCTGCATGGCCCTGCCGCGCCTCCCTGGCCCCGCCGAGCCTGCCTGGCCCCGCCGCGCCTGCCTGGCCCCGCCGCGCCTGCCTGGCCCCGCCGCGCCTGCCTGGCCCTGCCGCGCCTGCCTGGCCCCGCCGCGTCTCTCTGGCCTCTCCCACTACTTGCCTGGCCCCCCTTCGTGCCTGCTCGGCCTGTCGTGCCACCTCGAGCTCCGTCTCCTCTGCTCGCCAGCGCCGGGGCGTCTCGCGGCTGCCGTGCTGGAGAGTGCCGCCGCTGTGTCCCTGAGTCGCTGTGTTCCTGCGGAGCTGTGGAGCTGTGCTGCTGACCCTGCACGATGGCCGACTTCGTGCTCCGCCTGGACGCTGAGGGTCATGCGGTTGACTTCGCCGCCTGGCTCTCCGATCTCCGCCGCCACCTTACAGGTCAGCGCCAGGATGGCCACTCTTTGGTTGTCCATGTCGATGGCTTGCTCCCCCGCCCCCCCGCACCTGCTCCCCTCCCTGCTGACCCCTCCTCTGATGACCGGGAGACCTTCTCTACTGCTGCGCTTGCCCCTGCGGTCTGGGACTCTCGCGATGCAGTCGCTTAGGTTGCTATTAGCCACGCCCTCCCTGTGTCTGAGCGCTCGCGTTTTGCTACTATTGAGACGGCCAAAGCTTACTTAGACGCCGTTATTGCTCGCTATTCCACACCCGCGTCTGCTTCTGCTGGCCGCCTGCTCTTCCCTATGCTTTTCCCAGACCTTGCAGCCTTCCCTACCGTCGCAGACTTTGCCACTCACCTGCGTGCCCTAGAGACCCGCTATCGCACTGCCAGCACTGCTGCCCAGCTCACTGCGCTCCCCCCCCCTTTCTGCATGACGCTCTATTTTATCGCCATTCGCCTGCCAGACCGCCTCGCTAGTGCTCGCGATCACTTCCTTAGCGAGCACCCGGGTGATCTCACCCTCACCGCCTTTGTCGATACCCTCACCGAGATCGAGACTCGCCAGCGCACTATTGCTCAGTCGAGCGGTGCGCCGGCAGTCTCTATCTTTCACGGCTATGCCCCCTCCCAGTGCACGTTCACTGACGTTTCGGCTGCGGTCGCCACGGCGACCCCTCTCACCGAGACGGCTTCGGCGGTCCACCCGCCGCAGCAGGAGCAGCCCCAGCAGCAGCCGCCGCCCCAGCAGCAGTCGCCGCAGCAGTGGGCCCGTCTCCCGGCTGGCTGGCCCGGCACCTCCGGAGGTAGTGGCCGTGGTGGTGGCCCGCGCAGCTTGGCGTCTACCGGCGGCTCCGGTGCTGTCACCTGCCAGTACCAGCTTCAGACCGGGCCTCTCCGCGGCACTCTTTGCTGCCGCCCGCACTCGACCGCCCGCTGTTTCTGCCGCCTCGACGATCTCTTTCGTCGTCGCTTTGGCCCGGCCCCGGACCTCCCCGACTGGCACAGCCTGCTCCGCCAGGGCGTGCCGATCTTTGAGTTAGACATGGATCAGATAGGTGCTGCTTTGCATGCTTTGTATTCTGACGCTTCTAGTGTTGCTGGATCTTATTACCCTGTGTACTCTAGCCTTGGTGTAGCACCATTGTGTAGCTTAGCCTCCCCTGCTGCGTCAGGCGTAGGACTGCCTAGTTTGCCTAGCCTAGTCTCTGCACTGGCTCCGTTCCCGGCCTCCGCCGGTGCTTCGCTGTCCTTCACTCTCGACTCTGGTGCCTCTGCCTGCTTCTTCCGCGACCGCTCCGCGCTCACGCCGCTTGCTACGCCTGCTGTTGTCTCTCTCGCTGACCCCTCTGCGGGTCCTGTCGTCGCTCGCAGTTCTACGTCCCTTCCCTGTCTAGCAGTTCCCTCGGGCTCCCTTACAGGTCTCCACGTTCCCTCGTTCTCAAGGAACCTGGTTGGTGTCGGCTGTCTCCAGGACCTCGGCGTCACCACCACGTTCCCCGGGCACGAGCGGTTCGCTGTCTGTTCTGAGTCTGTCTCAAGTTCCCTTCTTGCGACTTTCCCCCGGGACCCGGTGTCCGGTCTGTTCACCCTAGACACCGCTTCCCCCCAGGTTGGTGCGTCCTCCCAGGTCGCTGCAGCTTGCTCGTGTCGGTCCCTCACTCACCCGTCCCTTCTCTGGCACCACCGTCTAGGTCACCCTGAACTCCCACGTCTGCGTCATATATCCCAGCACGGTCTTGTCTTAGGTCTCCTTGCGTCGCTCCCTGCCCTTCCTCCCTCGATTGCGCCACCATGCACGCCTTGCATCGAGGGCCGGCTCCGCCGCTCCCCTCACACCTCCTCGCTGCGCCCTGCTATTGCCCCCCTTCAGACCCTGCACCTGGACGTTTGGGGCCCTGCCCCCATCCCCGGACCGCGAGGTGAGCGCTACTTCCTTGTGCTCGTCGACGACTACACGCGCTACACCACGGTGTTTCCCCTGGAGCGGAAGGCCGACGCGCCCGACGTTCTTCTCCCGTGGGTCGTAGCTGCGCGTCTTCATCGCGGGCTCACCGTGTTGTGTCTCCACTCTGACCGTGGCAGCGAGTTCGCCTCTGGTCGGCTTGGACAGTTCTGTCGTGCGGAGGGCATCACCCAGTCGTACACGTTGCCGGACTCGCCACAGCAGAATGGGGTCGCTGAGCGCCGCATTGGCTTGGTCATGGAGGTCGCCCGTACCTCCATGATTCATGCCGATGCCCCCCATTTTCTGTGGCCGTTCGCTGTTCGCTACGCTGCTCACCAGCTTAACCTCTGGCCACGCTCCCAACGGCCGCAGGTTTCGCCGACCCTCCTTTAGACCGGGTCCCCCGGTGACGCGTCTGCGTTCCACATCTGGGGTTGCCTTGCTCACGTTCGTGCCTCTGGCATGGACAAGCTCACTGCCGCACTGTCCCCTGTGTCTTCCTCGGTTTCCCCCTGGACTCGTCTGACTGGCTTTTCTACCACCCGCCGTCTCACCGCTTCCTCCACTCTCGTGACGTCACCTTTGACGAGTCTGTCTCCTTCTACCGCCACTTCCCTCACCGAGGTCTCCCGGTTGCCCCCCCCCTGTTCCTTGCTCCCTCTCCCCCGGTAGCCCCTGCCCCTCTCCCGCCTCGTCCTGCCCCGTCTGGTGTCTCTCACGTCACTCCCCTCCTGTCGGTTGTCCCCGTTGAGGAGTCTGCCGACTCAAGTGGTGCCCCCGGTCCATCCTTGCTGCGTCCCCCTTCCCCGGTGCCTCCGCCCCCACTGTCGCAGTCGCCGACCCCGCTGCAGCCGCCGCCGGCGTCGCCGCCGCAGCCGTCGCCGCAGTTGCCGCCGCCGCAGCCGTCGCTGCCGCAATCGTCGCCGCCCCTGTCGCCGTCGCTCTTGGCCCTTGGGGGTGCTGGCGTTGAGGAGGGTGCTCGTCCTGCGTCTTCTGGGGGTGCCGCTGGTGTTGGAGGGGGTTCTCGCTCTGGGGGTGTTGGTTCTGGGGTGCTGCTGTTGAGTGTTCTCCCGATGGTCGTCCTGCCTCTGCCGGTCCGAGGGTTCCGGCCCAGCCGTCGCCGCCGGTCTCCGCTCTCCGCCTGCTCGGCCTTCCCTCCCCGGTGTCTTCCCCACCGCCTGTTGACCTTTCTGTCTACGGTCTTGTGTTCCCGCCACCGGACTCGTCTCCGGCCCGTCTTCCTCCTCGTTCCCCTCCTGTGTCCCCTCCGCTGTCCCCTGACCCTACACCTCCGTCTCACGTTTGGGCTCGCCGTCCCTCCCGTGCTCGTCCCGTCTCTCCTGTCCTTCCCACCCACCCTATGTTGCTCCGTTCCCGCTCGTCTCGTCCTCCCCTCCTCCCGTCCCCTCCTCCCTCGTCCCTTGCTGTTGCACCTCCTCCGTTCTCTGACTAACTCCGTGCCGCTCGTCCCCTTGTCCCTCGGATCCTTGCCTCTCTTGTTACCGGCCCTGCT